AATGACTGAGTTTTCACTTTAAATACAGCTCAGTGGGCAAGATACTCATAAGAAAATATTGCTAACATATCGGGGAACGTGTGGGAAGAATACACTTGGTAAATTCGCGTGTTTTGTACGCTCCAGAAGTAATAATCGTAAAATAAAACATTTCAGCTTTATCTTTAGTGGTGCCCAAATGTAACGTAACATGCTCGTCACCCACCCCCTACCCATATAACAAAGCCGTAACGCTTCGGCCAGACTACCCCCCCACCCATGGCCGTTACGTAATATTTGAACGCTGCCCAAGGGTTTTGGCTGTGTGGGTTTTGGCTGTGTATAATAACTTAAAATTAATAAACTAAAATTTTCTAGATTATAATTTCACAGCCTGTTTTATTGTACAGCCGGTGACTTCCCCAGTTAAAACTTGAGGCTAACCACAGTAAGTGGTAGCGCGCTCTCAAAGATGTCATGATTGCTAACGAACTGCCGAAGAACAGATGTTTTTTTAGCAGTGGACGAGCGTGGAGTGGGGGACGCACTACCAGTCAAACCGGAAAGAAAAGTTTTAGAAAATATGGACTACTTTCCACCATATCATGCGGAATTTATTGCTAATCGACCGTTTATTTTCATTATTCATCACTATATGAGGGGCCATGTTGCGCACATCGGACACGTTACAGACCCGAACCTCAAACCTCGAGTTATGTGATAGCCGGGCAGCTGACGCCACCATCATTACGAGCGGCTCAACAAAAATTTAAAATGGTGCCGGGAGCGGGTGGTTTATTTGCACGCCCGGCACCAAATCTGCGCACATTCCTTCGCGAAGAAGAGGTGAGGGTGGGCGTCGCCCTTCGTTTTGGACTTCCTGTAGCGGAGGAACAGCACTGCGTAAATTGCCAGAAGCCATGTAGAAACCAATGGTCATCACGGCCTGTCTTGCTCAAGCAGCAAAGGCAGGTGGTCTCGTCATGTCGAGCTGAACAACGAGACAAAGCGCGGCTTGGAGATCGCGGGCTATCCCTGACAAAATGAACCTTCTGGACTTTGAAACGCTGCTTAGAATCGCGGCATCTGGAATGCACCAAAGTGAGCAGCTATACGAGCAATATTTTAACGATCAGAAAAACTAATAAAAACTGAATAGTACCGGGTCGTCGTGTGGGTAACGGACAGACGGTAAAAATTCTGATATTTAACTTCATTTAACTGCGCATTTTCTCCGCGGCCGGTTAAGTGTACCGTATGTACCCGTGTTAGAGAAATTCGTCCCATCACCGGAGTTCCCACAGCCATCATGTATGTTATTGTAGCCACGAAACGCCACAAGGCGGAGTTGCTATCCAAAACCAACTGCGAATCAGTCAGTGCGTTCAGCCGGCGGTACGAACCGTTTTCAGAACTGATTGTCAGTCAAAACTTTATTTCATTGTCAAGACGCGCGGTTACTTAATAGGAGATTCTTAAACGCCAACCCATCGCTACGGCAGCATGTTCGCGTACCGACATAACACGAATCAGATGTACAACGATGGTTAATGATCAATCACGTCACCGTTGCTTACCGTCAGATAAATAAATAAACGCCAAACTAGCTAGATAAATATTTATAACTCTCCGGGAATGAATGCATATCACGGACTACAGAGTTCACCAGCCCTTACGGCTCGTCCACAAGCGCAGTTCAGCGAGGCAGTGGCGGGTAATGCGCGACAGCTTCTCCAGCTGCACATCGTGCAGCCCGTCTTCACACCACCGCTTCTCCGGGTAGTGCGCCGACGGACGCGGATCCTCCGACTGCAGCGCGCACAACACCTGCAATCAGGGTGGTAAGCATCATTTCACAAGTTTCCCTTCAAATCAAGCATCATGATCAAACCGGGCGGCGCGAGTTGCAAAACAGAAAACTATTAGCAACCAACAACTATATTTTTACAAAAGGCAACGCCTGCTCTAGAGTTCGTATGATCTACTGTAGATGATGACTCCATTACAGATAGCGTGGGATGGAACAGTTCTCAAAACACTCTGAGCATTACCACGTTGAGTCTCGATATTTAAGCGTTGTGAAAAAGGAAAAAATATGGAGCGGCTTTCTTCCGTTCGATTAAACATTTCTTGCCGATTTCCCTCAACAAAGTAACTGACGCGTTGCACCAAAAAGTCAAAAACTAAACTTTTCACAAGCCAACGGAACAAAGTAACAACGATCAACAGAAGACTCGTATTTCTTGTTATTTTCCACAAACATACGTACACGCTGATTAAAGTTCCTACGCACTTTATTTTTTACAATTAAACCGAAGGAGAAGGAAAAAAGAAAGTCCCTGCTTACCTGGCTAGCAAACCGTCGCATCATAACCTTCTTCTTGGATCTGCCAACGCCGTTCAGATACTGCAGCAGATTGTGCAGTTTCCGCTCATCCGTCACCGGCAGCCCACATTCCACTGCATCCAACAGACAGCCAACGATGTCAGCACTCGGCAGCAAACGGATGCAGGGAACGGCCATCTCCACTCGCGTTGATGCCGTCGGTCGGGGATACTTCCACGCGCTGAAGTTGCAGGTCAGGATGCCGTGGAGAATGTGGATGGTGTCGCACGGGAGACGGCGCCATCCGGATATGCTATCCTGCAGCGTGCGGACCTGGTCGCACTCCAGACCAGCGACGCCATTGTACCCCTGTAGACCGTCCAGGGTGACGCGGTGCAGAAGAACGGCGTGCAGACGAACGTTGGTCTGCTCTGCCACAGCGCAGAGCGCCTGCAGCACGCTCTCCGCTTCACCTATGAGCATCCACTCGGTTAGAACGACGCGCTTCGCTCCCGGTGACAGGCATTTCTGCACTGTCGCTGTGCCGAGGAAACGGCCAACATCACCGCGGATGACGATGGTAGAACGCAGAGCTGACAACTTCAACAGCCAATTCCACGTCTTGCAGACGGCACGCAGCTTCGTCTGGGTCACCGTGTCCAAGTGAGTGAAGACCTCCTGCCATACATCCGCCGGGAGCGCCATCTGCGCCGTGCCGTCATCTTCGGGACGAGTCTCGCCAGAAGGATCCGCTCCCTTCCTTGCCAGCACAGCACAACCAGCTGGATGGCTTTCTCCGTATCCGCGCGGATGGGGCAGCTGGCCGTCCACGAGGTCCACCACGAAAACTGGCGAGTGCTGGGTCCGGTCGTTAGCACTGACAGGCTGAACCAGCTCCTCGCATTCTTCCGCTGACAGCGAGCGAAAATGCTCGGTTAGCTGCAGACTTTGGTTGATCAAGGTGTCCGGACGGCCGTCCACGATGTGTCCGAGGCGCATCCGTTGATCGATGTCCCCGCGATCCATTCCGACGCGCCTGGTAGAATTTATCAGAGTGGAAGACACACAATTGTTACACAAGCGAAAAGGAAGAAGTAAGAAAACTACAGATGCATGCAGTTTACAGTGAGTGCTCAATATGGGGATCAGCGAGAAAATGATTTTCACTTGGGTTTCTGTACTGTGCGATCTCGTCGGTCGTGCACGTACGGGTGTATACTGTCCATTCCCTAATTGATTCGGAGATTAATTTACGGGTGTGGCTCTATACACAGCCTAATACACAGAATGAGAATACGTCGGCTGACTCGGCTCGGTGCGTTCACGTACACCAGATTTAGAGTCGGTGTGCACTGTGCAGTCGCAGCAAGTACAGGTACAGCAAGCACCATGCCCATACCGCATCCGCACAACTGGCACAGCGACATTTCGCGACACTGAAATTCAGCGCGCGACGTTTTGTAGCCAAGACATTTCGTCGCGCGACATATGGACGTTGGGACACTTCGGCTTTGCAACATCATGCACTGAGACATTTGCACCTTTGCAACGTTTTGCCGCAAGACATCTGGCCGGCGAAATATCGTTATGTTTTCTTGTGTTTTTCTTATGCGTTTTCTTATGTTTTCTTAGGTTTCTTAGGTCTTGGCTTACGGTTTTTTGAGTTTCTGTCTTTCGTGTCAAATGTCGGCGACGCGAAAATGTCCTTGGGCGGCGAAATGGTCTCGCCACGGAATTTTTCGCGGCATGACATGCTCCAGCGCCGCGATAATCATTTACAAGAATGAAATCCCGCCACAAACTGTCGCGCGGCAGTAACAAACGCAGCTGCGACCCCAAATGTCCTCCGGCTAGTTGTCTTCGTGAACGGAAAATATGCAGCATACTGTACAAATTGTACAGTACAACTACATTTGATTCACTACCGTAATGTGGCACCAAAACCCCAAATGGTGCCTTAACGTCACGCACAGTACACGTGTACTTTTGCTAGCGGTTTCTCTGATCACCTCCTGAATTTCAGACGGGCAGTTATAAACACGAAAACACCCACTAATCAAAGTAAAGATTACAAGAATGACACCAAAGTGAATGTTAAAACTACTTACAAAAATATTATCGAAATCGAAAATGCAACGGAAATAATAAAATATGCAGAATCAGATAATTTTAAACGGGTACGCGGTGTGCTTTCCGGGAAGGAGAATTGTTTGCCTTCGTGTACGTTGCAGACTTGCAGTCAGTTGAGTAGTTTTCCTGTGCCGGTGGAAGTACGTGCACTAATTAAAGCGAACATTAAATCCTGCAATATTACGAGTATTTACGCAAGTTTGATGTCATATATCCACCGAGTAGTAAAAAAAAGAAACCGAAATTTACAAGAAAGACAGTTTCTTAGTGCTATTCTAGTCGGAGATTGTACCCATCACACACGTATTGGGTCAAACTACCCTTAATTTCCTACCGGCAACAATTTAAGTTGAAAGCGTTACAGCCGCATAAAAGTCAAGTCTGCGATGGAAGAACACATCTGCATTTGCAGTCCTTAATGGAGCATGCAAAAGGCAATATCTTTCCTAAGACCGACAACGAATTCAGAAGATTAACGTAGAGAAGTGGCTCATTAAAGTTTGCGGGGACCGTCATCTCATGAGGACGCGATGGCCGTTGGCCGACAATCTTTGACTTGCTTAGATTATTTTTAATATTTTTCCAGTATACCCGTATCTTGATACCAAAGCTTTGAATGATTAATTTAATTTCATTCCCACACTGCACAGCAGTGTCCAAATATACTATGTAAAATGCTACTAGTGCAACACAGAATTATTCATAATGATCCTGCGTGTCGTCGGCGGCCGGTGCGAGGTAGATCTCCGTGCCGTCGGGCAGATTGACCGTCGGCTGATTATTGCACTCATCGCTCTGGCACCAGCACTCCACGATGCGTCCGCTACTACTCTCGTCCGCTTCGAACTCGTCATCCTGCATTTGGGTGGTGGTGACGCAGCGCGTGCCCACCTCCGCGGAATGGGCGTAACTGGCGCCCGCCACCCACGCTTTGTAGGCTAAGGGACCCCGGCCGCACTGCCGCACCACGTTGTAACCTGCATCATGTCAAGAATTTTAGATACTTCGTTACATTTCATATTCCGCACCTTTGTACAATATGGATTCGCCTTCAGGACATCACAGATACGGTATTCTTTGCGCTGTTCCACATAATTATATGAAACTTGATCATTTCTCATTAAATTAATTTATTAGATTTCTTATTAACTACCTTTTATTTTACATGTATTTTTGATTTTACTTTTATTAACCTGATAATTTTTTATTAATCTAATTTTTATTAATTTTGTTTTTATTTTTTTTTATCTTTATTAACTTGATAATTTTTTTCCTTTATGAAAATGTGTGAGTGTCCTAGAATGTGACAAACGTCGAAGTACATACGCAGCGATTTTAATCCATGTACGCACTTTTAACGTTGGAATTCTGCGGGTTGGCGATCTCGGTGACGATGGTGGAGCAGGTGGTTTCGTGCACCAGGCACTCGGCTACGTTGTCGGTTGTGGCGCACTCCTGGCCATGACCGTGACAGTCGAAACAGCGCCGACGTTCCTCCTGCGCGTCACCGCCTGCCATAAACACGAAATTTCTTGGTTTCTGTACAATTACGCGGGATTATTTTAATATCAATATTGCTTTTTTTTCGATTCATTATAAGAAATAATAAATAAGAAATAATATTTTTTTATAATCATAAATAATTCATAATTCATTCATTTATACAGTGTTAGTAATAATTATTAGCTTTTCTGCTTTCCCTAATTTATAATAATCAGGGTTTTCTATTAAGGGATCATGTTTTGTTAGGCGCACAAACTTCTAATAATTACAATCTCACAACATACTATTATTAGTTTTTAATTGTATATTCCGCATCCTGTGCTGGCCTTACCTAATACCGTCGATAAAAACAAGCAACAACACTAAACATCAAAACTTTCATTTTTCAGTCTGTTTCCTGTGTAGCAGGAAAAATTCTTGGGATCCTTATAAAATCAGCTTAACTGGTAGCAGTTGAACTAACAGTGCACATGACTGTTTACTAATTGTACCGAGCGTAACTGACATTTCCATAAGGTACGGAAGGAAGATTCATTAATGCAGATTTCGCTACCCGATCCTAATCAGACGTCCGATTCCAGTGATAACCTTTTCATTAACAGTCAACACTGAACTGTCCCAACACCAACAAGCCATTGCGTAATTTCCGCTGTTATTTACAAGCGCCGGCGAAAAGCGTGTACCATCAAATTTCAAAATAAATAAGCGGCCGTCGCGATCCATATATACATGTATTAAGCCCAAACGAAACGATCCATATATATACATGTATTAAGCCCAACAAGGCAAAGGTCATTCTTATATATATCAAAATATTCTATATATTAAGCCGCACAGTTCGGCACGCCCCGCTGCTGCCCCTTCTTCCCGCCACTCCCCCAAAACTCCCCGTTCTCGGCGTACCACTGGATCGTCGCCTGGATGCCCTCCTCGAACCCGATCTTCGGCGTCCACCCCAATTTCTCCAGCTTCCCGCTATCCACGGCATACCGCGCATCATTATACGGGCGATCCTTGACCTCCTTCACCCACTCCTCCAGATTCCGCCCCGCCCCCACCACCTTCTCCAACAACACTCGGCACAACTCCCGCACACTGACCTCCGTCGTCGTCCCAATATTATACACCTCCCCGACCGTCCCGCCGTGAATCAGGACGTCCAGAGCGCCGCACTTATCCAGGACGTGGAGGAACCGCCGGGTGACAGTCCCCCGGCCCTGCACCGGCATCGGGCGCCCTCGCAGGAGGTGGGTGATGAAGCGGGGGATGACCTGCGCCGGGTACTGTCCCGGGCCGTAGATGTTGTTGGCGCGGGTGATGAGGTACGGGAGGTGGAAAGCCTTCCCGTACGCCGTCACCAGGACCTCCGCGGCGGCCTTGGAGGCCGCGTAGGGGTTGCTGGGGGCGAAGACCGTCGGGGTTTCCACCGCGCACCCGTCGACGACCTCCCCGTACACCTCGTCCGTCGAGATAAACACGAATAACTGGAGGTTGCAGTACTTCCGGACGGCCTCCAGCAGGACATGGGTCCCCAGGACGTTGACGTTGGAGCAGTTCAGCGGGCACACGAACGACTGGTCGACGTTACACGCCGCGGCGAAATGCACGATATGCGTGAACTGGAACGATTTGCAGATTTTTTCTAATAGCCGCTCATCCAGAATATTCCCGTGGACGAAATGGTAGTTCGGGCGGTCGGACACCAGGATATTCCTGGGATTCGCGTTGAACTCTAAGGAATCGAGGTTGATGACGACGTCCTGTGGGTGCTTATGCATCCAGTAATTGATGAAATTCGACCCGATAAACCCGGCACCTCCGGTCACCAGGATGACCTTTGGAGGTGTCCCCTTGGGAGTGACACCCAGCATCCGCCGCTGCATCCGCTGCACCAGAATCTCCCGGACGCGTTCGCCGATCGGCGGGAAGCGGATAGGACAGGCGTACTTCTTTCGGAGGTGCTCCGGGAGCTCCAGGAGCCAGGTCTCCGCTTTCCCGGTGTCCAGGCAGTTGTTCGACCGTGGCGCCAGCACGAACTGTCCCTGTTCCTGGACGCTGATGACTTGGTACTCGTGTTTCGTCCCGGTGATCTTCTCAAACAACTTGACAATCCCCTCGTGATCGATCAACCCCGGATTCACCGCGTTAACGACCCCGGTCTTCCCCTGCTCCAACACCGCCAACAAAAACGGGAGGATATCCGCCAGCACCGTCATGGAGTTGGGGACGGACACGATCTTCCGGTACCCGAGGATCTTCGTGATCAGGTCCCGGTGGCCTTCGACCTCGGAGATCGGCATGCGGATGCGGGCGATCAGGACATTGGGGAACATCCCGAGGAGGCCCTCCGTCGTCCCCTTCACCGCGGAGTACGCGGAGCCACTGAAGTTAGGCGTATCCTCCTCCAGGAACCCCTTCCCGCCCACCGGGTGCGTCTCGTCATAGGCGAAGACACACCCCGACCCGATGTACAGGAGGGGAACCCCGGCCTCGGAGGTGGCGCGGGCGATGTACACCGGCGCGGCCAGGTTGCAGGCCAGGTTCTCCGGGAGACGCTCCGGGGGTTGGAGGTAGTCGATGGTGGGTTGGGAGACGCCGTGGGTGCGGCCGAGGGCGCAGATGACGAAGGCGGGACTGTGGTCCTGGAGGTCCCGCTGGACGTCGGGGAGGGCGTGGACGCGGCGGCCGGGGGTGACGGTGTTGCCGGCCGCCTCCAGGATGCGCTGGAGTTCCTGCCCGATCCAGCCGCGGTGACCGTATAACAGATACTTCATCGTATTAGCAGTATAGAAAACTTATTTAAAATTCAATTAACGAAGACATTAATGAGCCTGCACAAAATGGCAAGTGATACCGGCAAAATAGGTTAAACGACTGGAAGAAATGGAGCGGAACAGAATGGACAGTGGTGGGTATTAATTAACTTACCGGCTGGTTAATTACACCGTCTAACACGGAACCGGAAATGTGTATATCACGGTACCGGTTCCGCTCTGCTTCGTACCGCTGTTTGCTTCACCTCGTTAATTTTGTCGTTATTATACGTACATTGACTTGTTATTCGTTAGCCACCGGAAACAGCTTTTCTTTGCCTAATAATATTATTTCTGATAATTTAAAAAATTAATGTATAGTGTTTATTAAAATGGTTACTTATGAATAAGAAATAATTTATATTACTGCTGTTAATTAATCGGCAGAGGCATACACTTTTATGATTCTTAATGGCGGCGTCGGTACCGCTGACGACACTGAACAACGGGCACACGATGCCGGTTATCGGTCTCGGCACATCCTTCGTAAGAATCCTGTACATGAAAATAATTCCTTTTTTGTGTACAAATGTTAGGAAAATGTAAGGAAATGGAAGCAAAACTGCAATTTGTACAGGCGACGCGGCACAGCATTCGCGATACGATGCTGACCGCCCTGGAGCTGGGCTACCGGCACTTCGACACGGCGCTGCTGTACCAGAACGAGACGGAGATCGGGCGCGTCCTGGCCGAGGCGCTGCAGCGGGGGCAGGTCACCCGGGAGGAACTGTTCATCACCACCAAGGTACCATTGATTATTGTTAAATATATTTTAGTAAACAGCGAATAACCTAAATGTCCTGAAAAAAAGAGGAAATATGTCACAGAATGGAACTAAGTAAAACAATAAAATAAGTTAAATAAAATGTTATTTTGTGGATAGTTATGGTGCACATATAACCATCCCCAGCGGGTGACGGACGGGCTGCGGCGTTCGCTGGACAACCTGGGCTTGGATTACATCGACCTGTTCCTCATACACATGTAGCTAACCCGGCGTCTCTCTACTAAGCCTTTATCATACATCTCATACTAATACTGTCGTGTTTTTTCTATTGTACAGGCCGGCGTGTTTTCAGTACGTTGGTAAGAGCCGGCGTGGTTGGGATGAGTTGACCGGTTGTGTAATTATCCGCTTGTAGACGAGTGGACGTGGACGCCGCGCGATGCCACCGGAACGATCCGCTACGACACGGCGGATCACGCCGCCACCTGGAAGGTCGCATTTTGCTGTATCTGCTCTACACAACGGTCAATAAACAATATTGTCTGGTGTAGGAACTGGAGAAAGCGGTTAACGCCGGGTTGGTCCGGTCTATCGGGCTGTCGGCTGTAAATTGCCGGCAGGTGCAGTACATCCTCGACCACTGCACCATTACACCGGCCAATGTGCAGGTAGAGGCCGTGGTGACCTTTCTCCGTCGGCCGCAGTGGTGAGCAGCGTTCTTATCAACACAGGTGGAGAACCACGCCTACCTAATGCAGGGCGACCTCTTCCGACTCTGTTCGCGCCACGCCATCCATCTAACCGCCTTCTCACCGCTGGGCTCGCCCGACCGCTGTCGCGCTGACCTTCCGCGGCTCCTCGACGATCCCGTCGTCATTCGTATCGCTCACCGGCACGCCAAAACCCCCGGTCAGGTGAGGGCGTAACCTGCGTCAGGCGAGGCCTAACTGCCATTAACCACAGCGATATATTAACGCTTAGCATGAATTGCTCGTAAATACTCATGTAGTTTTCTCTTACAATAATATTGTACGAAATAATTGAAGAACACTGATGGTACTATATTACATAATTATAATAACTACTAAGTGCGCTAAACAACTATTTATTCCTTAAAGTGTACCTAGTGCTGTATCCAGATGACAGACGAGGAATTCTCCGTGCATTAACTAAGTCTTACAGCCAATTACAACCATTTTTTAAGCGCAGGGAAATAAATAGCACCAAAATTAATCATTATGCACCGGGATAACTCGTTAAAATTAAATGTTCCACGTGTACATACTTAGTCACTGCAGTATATCGGGAATGGGCTACCTGGTCTGGTGCGAAATGAAAATGTCGTCATATACGCAGTTGGATGTCTTAGGTGCTGCTGCGTTTCCTGCTGCAGCGCGGCCGCCTGGTCATCCCGCGCAGCACCTCCCGTCAGCACCTCCACGACAACCTGGACGTCTTCGATTTCGCCCTCGCCCCGGCGGAGATGCAGGCGCTGGCGGGATTGGACCGCAAAGGTCACGTGCGCTACTATCCCTTTGATCAGTACGTATTTTTAAATACACATGAAGAACTACACGCGGTCAGGATAACCATACCTTTTCGGCAGGATTAACGATTCCCTGGATGCGCCGTACGCACCGTTGACCGGAATTAGCAACGTCAGCGTCACGCCGGACCGTCCCTCCCCATGCCAAACGGATTATGACGGCACCGCTCTATGATTTTCCCTTGCAGCGCCATTGTCGACCGGCATCTATGCCTTTTTCTTTGATAATCATATCTTCTCTGTTAATTTCTTCTCCTTTTGCAGTTTGCTCTCTCTGATTTTTTATTATTCTGTATGTTTCTATTGCATTTTGCTGTGAAGACACACTTACATGTACGTATACTTCTATACGAGTACATATTTGGTGCGAGCCTTAATAAAATGATACAAAATTACTCAGAATCGATGCGGATACGTTCCAATCAAATAAAGAGATTTCTTTGTAGAGACGTTACGCACTACGTAGCTGTCTTTCTACACCGGTTTTAATCGTATCGTACGCACTGCAACAATATCGAAGCTTTCTGCGCCACCGATTCTGTTGACAACACGGTTAATTGAACCACAACAGCACCGCGGGCAGCAGCAACACCAGTGATCAATCCAACCATAATTATAACTCTATCACACGAGGATGCCGACTAATCACATGACACGCCGGTACTGCTATTCCGGCATCACCCGGCGTCTCGCCGGTCTCCTCCTCGTCTTCCTCGTCTCCCTCCTCATCCTCCACCTCAACAACCGCCTCCACCACACTACCCTTTACCCCCACCACCCCGTGACGGTAGTCACCGCCTACTTCCGCATTCCCTCCAAGCACACCCCCCAAGAATACTTCCGCTGGATGGAGAACTTCCTGCGCCACGTCGACTGCCACCTCTACATCTTCACCGAGCCCGCGCTCCTCCCCAACCTCACCTCGTTACGCCAACCCTACCTCTCCCGCACCCGATTTATCACCCTACCGTTCAATGACCTTTCAACAGCCCCCCTCCTCCCGCAGCTGGAGGCCCTCACCCGGAAGTATCCAGAGAAGAACGTCACGGCGCAACTAATGGCCATCTGGCACGCAAAGTGGCGCTTCATAATCTCCGCCATCAACGAGAACGTCTTCACCTCGGAGTATTTTATCTGGTGCGATATCGGGTCCTTCCGCCAACCGCGGCATCTCCCTCAATTGAAACACTTCCCGGACGCGGAGCGGACGAAATCGGTTCTCCGGGATCGGCACCAGGTGTACCTCTTGTTAACCGAGCCGTTCCCGGCGTCCGTGACCTTTCGGAGGGACTCCCAGTTAGCTGAGGATACAGCGCTCCGGGCGGCGGTTAGTCAGCTGCATATTGGAGGGACGCTGGCCGCCGGGCACCGGGATGCGTGGCGGATGTGGGAGCGGGCGTATTATCCGCTGCTGGAGCAGTTGTTGGCAGCCGGGATCCATGCCGGGCAGGATCAGGTGGTGATGAACGCCATCGCGTTGAAGTATCCGCAGCTCGTGCATCTAATCAAACCCAAGGCGTATTTCGGGGGCACCGGGAATCCGTGGTTCTATTTCCAGTATTATTTCTCCGCGGCGATTTGAGGGCGGCCGATGACAACGCTAACTCTGTGATTTTAAAAATAGTCTTTAATAATTTTGATTTTTATTTAAGCAGTTTCTCGATGGCTTTAATTTTTATTATAAAATTTTTTTGATATATTAAACTTTTATTATAAAAATTCGGGATACTTAAATTTTTATTAGAACATCTTCCTCATTATTTTAACTTCTAATAAAGTTTTTTGGGCAGTTATAATTTTTTGTAGAAGATTTACATACTTTCGATTTTCTGTTTTTAGGTTTGCTCATAGAAAATACTAGATTAAAATGAGGTGATATTCTTCAATTTTCTTCTTATTTTGCACGAAAAACGTCTCAAAATCGTGATAAAATAAATTCCTTAACGAAATATATGTATAAAGTTTCTTTCAAAACTCTGAAAGAAAATAATAATCGTTTATAAATTTAAATAGCAGGCGTTAGAAATTTTTTACTGATCTCATTAGCTTAACATAATGGATGAAGAAACATGTAGAGCACAACGGATGCGAGTGGTCAGTTACAAAGGTCACCGTGTACGCCTTGTTCAATGAAGCGCGCGTGTTTCGTACTAATTAGAATGCATCCATCCGCACCGGTTACGTGATGAGCGTTACTGCAGCAAAACCACCGGCAGCATCGTTTGCAGCAGCGAGCTAGTGCGGCAATGGAGTATGGAGTGCCTGACCAGCTGCCGGCGCATGCTTTCCACGCGCCTTACCGGTAATTATTTTATTTCCAGCCCCCGTTTATTGTATTTAAATATTTTCCATCCGCATTAGTAATTTAATTAACTAATTTCCATTCGGAATTTTAATTCAAATATTTAATTTATACTCAGTATTTGTATTTAATTAGTTTAATTCACCGGGAATTTTAATTTAACTAATTAATTTCTACCCGGCAATTAACTAATAATGTAATTAATTTATTAAATTAAGTCTTAATTTAAATGATTATTTTCCAATGGCATTTATATGTAATTTAAATATTTGATTTTGCGCGGCAGTTTAATTTAGTTAATTAATTTCCACCCGGTATTTTCCAGTGATTAAATTTTGGATTTTTTTATTAACAGGAAATTCCACAGGAATAATTCTTCTGGTTGCCGGTGCGTTGGCGGTTTCCGGACTGTGGCGTTACGGATTTATCGTCGTCTACAGGAGCAACTGTCCGCGTGTCACTAACGCCACCACCCACTGCGAGCATCGCAACCATCTGAATGACAGGTAAATGCGTACAAGATGAAACACAATTTGCCGGTATTTTTATTTTATTTATTATTAGCGCGTTGGACTTGTGCCTGAATCAGACGCTGGCGCAGAGCGGGAAAGAAAAATTATGGTTCCACGTCAGCGGTGATTCGCGGACGCGGCAAATCTTCCTGGGTGTCAGCGTGGCTCTGTCGCGTATCTGGTCAACCGCGGTATGTTTAATAAACCAGTACTGAATTTTGTACTCAGTTATTTCACACTGATTTATTTTAATTTAGCGACATTAATTTTATTTTATTTAGGATTTATCTTTTTTTTAAATTAATTAAAAATTTTATTTGAGTTTATTTTTGATTTTTTTTAATTAAAAAAAAAGGTTCTATTGCTCCAATGACTCCAGTACATAAAATATATAATTTTTATTTAGTTCGTCTATTAGATTTTTTTCCATTTGTTACACTCCCTCTCAGTTATTTATTTTGTTATTTTTATTTGGCTGACTTTCTGATTTCTCATTATTTTTATTTTTATTTTTGTTTTCATATTCATTTGTTTTTGTGTTTTATATTTAATTAATTTTTTTTCCTTCCTTGGATTGTAGGAGAGTATTTCGCACGTGGATCCGCTGTGTGAGTCAGCACGTCGCGACCACTGTCACATGAACGTCAGCATCCCGGGTCACCGTTTCAGTCTCAGCGAGCGCTGGTATCCCTCCGTGGAAAACGAGCGAATGCAGCTGGAACTGGAGGCGCTGCTAGCGCTGCCGGATGCGAGACTGCCGGATATTCTCATCGCTAACTCCGGCGCGTGGCTCGTCCACACGTGTTTCCGGTCCAAAATCAACGACACCCACTGCGCCGAAAAATACCGCAGGTCGGTCGCAAAATAACCGACCAAAAAACATATGTCCCTTAAATTTTTAAACAAAATTTTACATTATTATTTTATATTTTATCTGCATCGCTTTCTTGATCCTTTAGAAATTTTTGTTTTTAATTTATTTTATTCGTTTCTGGAAAAATTTTATTAAGAAAAAATTCAGTTATTTAAAAATCGAAATTTCATTCTGTTTAAAATTAAAACTTTATTACTTATAATTTATTCCAGTTTGTGAAAATTCTTGTTTATTAAGTACAAGATCTATACTACGCGCGGCGCCCCATAGTTTTGACATCTCTATAACCATAAAACTGCTGGAAAAACGGACAACGCCGTTAAATCCGGGATAGTTCAGAAGTGGCCAGCATGTGTTTTTTTTATGAAAATATCGAGCCGGCATCAAGCCGGCATCAAGACCAGATTGATCCACCCCATCTTAAAGGTCACCTTGAAACTTAGAAATATTTGCCTAGATACAATACAAAATACCAGTTGACATAATTATCACACTAATTAAACCGAAAAATAAATAAATTATTTTACTTATTCAAACACTCGCGTTATTCAAACATTGCTGCCGGTGTTGCCGAGCTCGAAACACCTTTAAAATCAACCGATATAAAATGTAAAAGTATCAAATATAAAATCAATACGAAAAATCACTTGACAAGTGAGTGAATGAAACACTATCACCGACCACAGAGCGGAATCTCTAGATGAGTGGGTGACCGAGCTACCACCACTGACCAGTAAGAAAAATCACTAGACAGGTGAGTGACCGAAACACCATTACTGCCCACTGAGCGGAATTTCTAGGTGAGTGAGTCATCGAACGGGCTTTGCTCTTGCTCACCTAACGGGCTCTGTGCACTGGACAGTAGTTGTAGCAGGGTCGCTTCCTCACCTAGCGATTTTCCTCCTTACCTAGCGATATTTCTTACTGGACAGGTTGAGCTCGGTCAGTCACTCACCCAGTGATTGAGTGCGTCAAAAAATCGCTAGGTGAGTACGTGACCAAGCTACCACCACTGTCCAGTGCCCGGAACCCGTTAGCTGAAAGAGTGACCGAGATACCACTACTGTCCAGTGCATAAACTCCATTAAGTGATCTTGTGACCGAGCTACCACCACTGTCCAGTGCCCAGAACCCGTTAGCTGAAAGAGTGACCGAGATACCACTACTGTCCAGTGCATAGATCCTGTTAGGAAGATGGATGACCGAGCTACCAATACTGTCCAGCGCACATAGCCCGTTAGGTGAACGCGTGACCGAGCTACCACTACTGTCCAGTGCATAGATCCCGTTAGGTAGATGGGTGACCGAGCTACCAATACTGTCCAGTGCATAGATCCCGTTAGGTAGATGGGTGACCGAGCTACCAATACTGTCCAGTGCATAGATCCCGTTAGGTAGATGGGTGACCGAGCTACCAATACTGTCCAGTGCACAGAGCCCGTTAGGTGGACGCGTGACCGAGCTACCACTACTGTCCAGTGCACGAACTCCGTTAAGTGATCTAGTGACCGAGGTACCACTACTGTCCAGTGCACAAACTCCGTTAAGTGATCTAATGAGCGAGCTAGCACTACTGTCCAGCGCATAAACTCCGTTAAGTGATCTAGTGACCGAGTTACCAGTACTGTCCTTTGCATAAATCCTGTTAGGTAGATGGGTGACCGAGCTACCAATGCTATCCAGTGCACAGAGCCCGTTAGGTGAACGTATGACCAAACTGTACTACTGAGCAAAATAGAGCAGGGCCTGCTAAGTTCTTAATGGGTGACCTATCTACCACCACTGTCCAGTCTTAGCGTCCTTTTAGTTTGTAATGTGGTACTCTCGTGGGTGATTAGATTCGGATGGTTTTTCGCTAAGAAAATTTAACAAAAAATGATCTGTAAAGTCAAAGTAATTGCGTTTGACTGCACGAAACCAAAACATCCATTTTTTTATAAAATTTTTGTTATCGGGCTCTTCAGATTTATCCGTTCTAAGTTAACAATCCGTGAGCCGGCCAAGGAGTTTAGAACCCAAGAAACGCGGAGGCGAAGCCGAGGCTGTTTCTTGTAATTTTATATTATTTAATTATATTATTTTATATTTCATCAATTATATTTCATGATTTGTTATATATATATTGTAGTTTTATATTATACGCGTTTTACTAAATTTTTAATTTGCAGTTATAATTTTGATATTTATATAACTAGTGTTTCATCGATTACTAATTTTCTAATTTCTAATATCGATCATTTTCTACATTCTTTAATTTTTACTACGTTTTGGCCCATGTCAGTTTTTATTTTAAATTATTAACGTTCTGATTTTTTATGAACTGTAATTGTTTGCAATTTTTCCCCCAAAATATACGTTGTTTGTGGTGTGTAGTATGATGTCAGCAGTGCTGCCGTTACTGCGCCGCTTAGCCGAACGGACGAAAGTCGTGTGGATGCCGCAGAACCGGATGAAGCGCGACTGGGGTCCACAGAAAACTGACCACGGCAATGACCTTTTACAGCACTTCAACCGCTACGTGTACGAAGAACTACAGGACAGTAAGGTCGTCTACTGGAAGGCCTACAACCGCATCTACGACTGCTTCGCCGACACGGAGGACGGCATCCATGTCGGACCGAAGAGTATGCCGTGGATGGTCAATATTTTGCTGGAATACGTCTGTACCGACCGCTTTGATAATTCCTTCCAGTGCTGCTATTAAAAGTGCCACGGCAATCCGTTTTTATTGTCACTTGTTCAAGATTTAAAGAAAAACAGTGAATCGTGGGCTTTAATTAAGAAAGGTCACATCATTAAAAATTTTTGTGAATGATCCAGAAAGGGAGCATCGACAGGAACCTGTATCTAGGGCGAAGAGCAGTTGACAAATCGCCTAAAAACAAACAAATAATTATTGTTAAAAAATTTTTTTAAATACAACACAGCAAATTTCCGCATTTCGTAAAAAAATTCGGAAAAATAAGCGTACACAAATGCGTATAAAATAAAGTAAATAACCTTAAAAAGCGTAAATAAAATGTGTATGAATAAGCGCAAATAAAATGTGTTTATTAATTACTGGTAACATAAAAAAATTTATATAAATAAGCGTAAGCAAATGCGTATAAACAAGAATAAATACGCCTAAGATATTGTAAATAAAATGAGTATGAATAAGCGTAAAATAAAAACCAGCGTACCTTTCGCAGCAGCGTCAGACCGGGATGCACGACATCCTTATACATATGCACATATTCTCTGGAATCTTGGTACACCGCGTCCCACAACACAATGCCGGCATTCCGTGCCACCTCTTCCACAACACGTCCGAAACGTTCGGCTAACACATCTGCGTTGCGCCGGTGACTCCACTGGGTGTTGATGGCCAGTTCGACGGGATTAATTGGCACTGCGAAGCCGCTATGGTTATTTATTAATAACACAGAAATTAATTGATTCATCACAATTACGCGTTCGTATCCAGATGACCGTTGTAAGATCACTCAGCGCAGCAAAATCCTCGGCCAAAACGGTCAAATTCCCTGCGCAGAATTAAGAAGCAGGTACATATATAAACATCGTTTACCGGTATCGAAACAAGATGCAAGCTTAAGGAAGAGCGTACTTACGGCGAAATTCCGGCAGCGCGGCTTCTCCATACCGAAATACTGTCCACTGAGCGCAAAACATTTTTAGCACAATCAGTATTTTAGAAAAATGTGTAATAGTTATTCAATCATGATTAAACGGGATAAAGGTCACCGTTACACTGTCTGCAGATAATAAACTGACTAAATTAAAATTTATTATTATTATTATTATAGACAAAAGGTCACCGTTACATACTTAAATTCAGTCATTTAGAGCTGCAATATTTATAAGAATTAAAGGTCACCGCTGCATATATGAATTTAATGATGTATAACTATATCATTGATGTGGGGAAAGGTCACCCTTGCATATATTAATTTATCGCTTTTTAGTTTTATCAAAAATAGGAAATAAAATCAGCGTTACGCGGTGGCACGGCAAGCACTTACCGCCCCGGTTTCCATGATGACGTAATGCGGCAAGGGGCGGGTACCGTTGCGCCACTCACGCACCAGCGCCCGCATGGCGGTATCCGGATACAGTCGCGCATAAAACGACTGCAAAAACACGAACATTCCTACCAGAGATCTTGTACAGAACGTTCAACTCTTTTCTGACCAATTGAAATTGGCGTGGTTCGTCCCAGTGCAGCGTGTCGTTGATGGTCTCCTTCAGAACCACATGCCGGCCGTCCAACAGACTCCGCAGATACGCGAACATATGCCGGATCCGCGAATCGCCGATAAACGCCAGCGAGGTGTTGCTGAGGGATCTCCGCAGCTGCTCTCTATACCGGCATTCGTGACCTTTCAGTACAGCATTTTGAATTAATTTGTTAACACGTACTTGAAATTGTGGTCCAGATTGCGAAGTGAGCATTTTTGGCAATAATCAGCATTGGTCAAATATGCGGTGCACAAGGGAAACCGCCACGCAAGTGGCTGACTAAGTAAAATAAAGACACAATTGAAAAATACAACAAAACTAAATAAAACTGAAATAACAGCGAAACAAAATTGAAAAAAATCAAATAAAAACCGAATAAAATTTATGTTTAACAAGGAATGCGGAATTATAAAATACCGGTATACTTACAAGTAGGAGGATTTATCCAGTGTCATGTGACTGGTAAAAAACAGGATGAAGAGCGTGCAGCAGCAGAATATAACGCCGGCAAAGATGGCCTTCATTTACCGCAACACCACAATATTTTATTCTAACGAAATACAGTACTTCATTCCCAGTTTACATTGTTTGCATCGGCCGTAGGTAAGTTTTGCCGCGACTGTACATGTATGCGCTCATGCGTAAATGCAATAAGATGAATCTTTGTTAATAATCGCTTGAATGCACTAATGAGTGTGCAGTCAAAATTACAGCTTGACCACCTATTTAACCAACCCCAAAAACCGGCTTCGAAAACTAGCCAACACGTGCAGCCATTTATTTAGCAGGAAAAAAATCATGACCTACTACAGATAATGCTTTCCATTAAAAATTTGCTAAAAAATCGTCATCAATTCATAATCTATGGGTGCTAGGTTCAATGAACTGTTACATCATGTGGCCTTCAGAAAACATCTGGCTTTGTGAGATTCTAGGGACTGATACGTTGTGTTAGCTTCGTGGACTGGAAGACAGCCATTTTGACTGCTCCCCTTGCGTTCCTCCCCGGGTTGTAAATCCAGATTGATTTTCCTGAGAAGTTTTTTAAGCGAGTTTTTAGTCTAGACATCTACGGTGGTTTTGTCACCGGGAGGGACCACATGCACTGCATTATTGTCCTAGTAAATAATTTCGGAAAACAAACATTATCCGTTTTCGTTTTTTACCAAATTTTGATATTTTGTTATTACGATACTTAAAAGTGGCAGCACGGAATTTCGTATCTCCCGTCCGAATAAAGAAGCTACATTTGCGTCTCACCGATTACGACGGTCTATATCAAATTTCAGAAAATAAGGAAAGTGGCAAAAAGATTTCCTCGTCAAAAATTTGTTCCAGTTTGGAAAACTGGGCGTTCCGCTTTAAAATCACTTTCGAGTGCAAGAGTAGGAATCAGCGTCGTGCTTTTAAACAGCGTAATTACGCAGTCATCTTTAGCAGTATGCAGGTACAGCAATATCCTACTTGATGCGCCGAAAATAAATTACACATTACAGTGATTACAAAGGACAATTAACGCCTAACGACTGAACTCGTCGATGAGTCGGCGCGCCACCACTTTCAGCGCCTCCATGGTTTCCCGTCCGCTGGGGATGATCTGGTCGGCCGGCAGGAGGAATTCAAATTCCCCGGTATCACGCAGTTCGATGGTGAAGACGTATTTGGTGGGCGTGCGACCTTTGGCGAAATCCCGCGATGTTCCCGATGACGTATCTGCACACAGGAATAAATCACATAATCCCATCGGCAATATGCGGCGTAAAAATGGATGCCGGTTGCAGCTCTTACAGAGAATCTCGGCGGATGTGCCCACGCGGTACACCGTTCCATAGACGGCGCGCAGTGCTGCCGTGGCGTTGATGCTCAGTGCGTACTGTAATTACAAACACGATCGAATAGGAAAACTGTACAATATGTAGCGAAATTAACAAATATAAGGTTATGTAAACATAAATATAAGATTTTTAAGCAGCTGTAACAAAAAACAAATAGAGGGTTACTAAAATGAGGAAAACAACCCAATGGAAAAATTGTATATGACAATATACATATTTAAAAAGAAATTACCGGCATTAAAAACCAAATAATGAAAGTGTTTTTAAGGAAAACGTTAATACCTCGTTGAATTTAATGAAATGCTAACAAAAAAACTTGTAATAATAAAGTTAAGCATGGCGGACAATAATAAAGAAAAATTTAAGGAGATAAGCTACAATCAGAAAAATAAAATGTATCCCCGAAATGTCTCATATTAAATGGAGAACACACCAAGTCGGGATAGTCCGGGGTGTGGTCGTACGTGTATCCATACGGCGGCATCCACAACTGCCCGTGGGAGTGAAAGGTCAAGAAGGCCCGCAGCTCCCGTTTGAGATCCATGATCTGCTCGAAGATGAGCAGATTCTCCGGCTCAGAATACGGCGCCGGACCGCCGTACGTGTTGGTGCAGGGATCTATGGCCGGTTTGACTTCTGCAAAAACACTTAGAATTAATTACGTATATAATATAGGGAAATAAGAACAGTTTTGTGCCAATAATTTGTAGATAAACTGATGCGGCGTTGAGGAAATACTTTGCCACTGGAAATCGTAGTTGCGGTTGGCGTCCACCCCGATACACTCGCTGAAAGGGTCGATGCGTCGGGTTTTCCGCCATAAACGCTCCTACGGGAAACCGGCATCAGTCCCACGCGAAATTAGAAAAAATTTGATTGATATCAGAACGGTGTACGTTGGTATGTGTGTAGTCGAAGCCGTCGGGATTGATCATGGGCAGAATGTACCAGTTCAGCTGCTCGTACATCCAACTGTTGCTGCTGTTCGTCACCATCTGCAAAAATTCCACCGGCTCTAATTAAACGCTAATTTCTTCGAAATATTTTATTTTCTTCTGTTACAATTTTTTTATTATTAATTGTTACAATTTAAGGGTATGCAATTTATTACAGATTAAATATTGCAAATATGCCGAAGCTATGCGCTGACAAACCTGGTTAATCATAAAGGTCACCGTGGCACTGGAGATCCATTCCCGCGCATGAATGCCTAAATATGTGGGTAAAGCGTACGCCTAGAATCGCATTAAGAGATTGTTAATCAGTTCAAGAAAGCTGACAATTTTACCGGAATCCACCCAAATGGCCGGTTTCGTCGGATCGGCGAAGGTCCCGTTGGCGTTCAGACGACCGATCTTCAGCAGCCACATATTGCGTCCTTCGTACGTCCGCCCGAGGAGCACGCGGCGCACGATGTCGGGATGCTCCGTTTCCAGGTACAAATAGAAGCTCGTAATCTATTTATATGCATACACATTTTTATATAAGTATAAAAATATTCAGTTTAAAATATTTACCAACATTTACACATTATATATTCTTTACTCATATAGTGCAAATTTTTATATATGCCTTATACATTTACATATTTGTATTTTTTACACATATACATTTTTATACCTACTTATGAATACATTTTTATACATATGTATACATATGCTTGTGTTTTTTTTATTTTTTCTTACGATAGAATTAAATTTAATTGCGAGACTATTGCTACAGACCGTGGTATAGCGATGGTACGTCTCCCAGTTCATCAAGAGGGCCTTGTCCATTCCTAACCGATTGGCCGGTGTTTCCGGCTCATGTTGTCTCAGAACGCTAAACAAATACGGCGTCTTTACTAATAATGAATAGCCCGATGCGCAGGTATATGTCGTGTATGTACCTGGAGAAATCGTCCCAGACCAGCTCGTTACGCAGACCGTTCAGCTGGCAGAAGGACGTAAAACCGGAGACGTGGTCCGGTGCGACGGTAACCTTGTGTTTCTTCCCGGTGAAGAACTCATCATCCCAGAACTGTATGGCGGATTCCGCACCAGCCTGTCATATTATATCTACATGATTATTTTCAGGCAGATATAGCAACAAAATCTTTAAAGATACCGCGTGATTTATGTAAAGCTTAAGCGCCGCTGTACATGGTACATGGTACTGTATTGTACATGGTACGTGTGCGTATAGGTACATGAACGGAAACTTTCGCTTTCGCGCACTCCCAAGCAGTTTTGCGTTGTTGCCCATGATAATCTGTTGGGCAAGAAAATTACGGTTGTAAGAAAATTAGAGCAAGTTAAACGCAGTAACTCATAAACAAATGGGTTTACCAAAACACCCAGTATGGAACAATCTTCGAAAGTTTGCACGAAAATGCACATATGGTAATTACTGCGAAGGTGTTTAATTTTATACCATTAAACCAAATATTTAAAGCTTTTCTATGATTTTTGACAGTTTCTAAATTCATTTCAGGATTGGGAAAGAAGGGGAACCCGGGTTAATTTGTATAAGAATAATCTTTTTTCATTTATGTGCCTTTACGAGGAGAATTCAGGAAGATCCTTTCACAACTATCTGTAGTGTAACAGTATTGTGTGCATCTATTGCTTATTCTTTTTTATTCTGCTCCTACTGTGTGAAATTTCCCAACCGGAAGTTGTGCGCTCAGACGGTTGCCACGCCAATGTATACGAATCATCTGGCTATAAAATGTCATGAAGTATTGCAATATGTCTGGTAAAAAAATGTCTGGGAAAAAAAATGTCTGCAAAAAATATGTCTGGAAGTCCACAAAAGCGGACGTTACCGTGCATTCACACGAATCCGATACCATGAACGAGCGTGTACATGCTTGTCAATCCCGTTATTTCTACCGCATCAACACAGCGAGCAATAGAACTTCAAATTCACGAGCTTGTAGCGACCCCTTCCTGTAGTTCTAAGAACACTACATCCGTCATACCTGGTTTGTATGCTGGAGGTGATGCAGCAGCCGTTGTAACGCGGTAATTTCTTGCTCCGAATCCGGGATAACGTGGAATACTTTATAACTGCAGCATCAATCAGAATATTGTCACATTCAGCCAGATTCCCCGACAAGCAGTACAAAGCATATGCATCACCGGAAGTTCGCTCACTTGTGATACGAGATTGCCTCAACGCTCGTCCAACATATTACCGCGACGAAAACCAACACCGCGCCAATCCCGGAATTTCTTAGTACCATTTTGAAAACAGCGTCCAGGGACGTTTATTTTATGTGGTATTACGCGTTGTTGTGAAAGACAATTTCGTGTATAATACGGAAATTAATATGCGATGTGGGTTGTGTGCTTTTTGCGGCTTCCTGTGGATCAGCGCAGAGAGCTATGATATCGGTGTATGATGACATATTTTTCTGGTAAAGAATGCTGTCTTGTTATCGAGTCTGTTGCTTATCGTTTATCGCTTATTAACAAATGCGGTTACGTTGTTACAGAAGCTATCAGTTTACCAGTTTTCATTTCCGGTGCAAGTGATATAAATTAAAGCTCAGGTACGTTGCTTTACACTATTTAGGTGCAAAATATTTTTTTGAGAAATCGTTTTTATACTCATCAACAAGGTAATAAAACAATAATTATTACCTCGACCATGTGTTTGTTCAACCTGCTGCATATACAGCATTACCCGGAAATCATGATTTACGCTGTTTCAGGGGCTCATTTAAGCATGTACAAATTTTTAATCCTTATTTACTTCATACTTCCCGGGCCAGGTGGAAAAAAAACTGTACATTTATCCAGCTTGATTATAACTTTCGCATCCACTCGAAACTGTGACACGTGAAACCTTACAAAGACGACAAAAACCCCAAAAACTGATTTTTAATGAACAATGATCACAATGGTCACGATTCACGAAAAATTATTTGCAATAGAAATAACAGTGTGTTTTACTTTTGAGCGATTTGGTTCGGCATCCGCCAGCTAAACATATACCAGCGCAGATTTACACAAATTTTAGTTTCCACTAAAAACTGGAAAGAATTAAGAAACCCAAAATGTTTGAGTAATAAAATTATGTGTACTTCTATGTGATTTGCGGATAGAGATAAGAGGCCAGCGGAAATCTTGGCCCAACCCACGCCAGGGCGCAGTACCGTGCATTACCGTACATACCGGCGAATAGTAATGTTTTATTTACATGTAAAGCTCGGCAGTTTTTAAACCACGCTATAATGCTACCGCACCAATAAACCGGATATGCGCCATGAGTTGAGCGGAAACAGCTACCGCACAACCCGTACGTACATACGATGAGCAAAGTTTACGGGGAATTCCGCACTCCGTCGTATAATACTGTGTGCCTCTGTCTACCTCGTATTACTGTGTGCCGCTGTCTGTCTTCTTTATTCGTACAGCTGACTGCCTGACTAATCGCCGCTTACTGTACTTGCTTTACTCGGAAGGTGACGTTCTGCGGTTGTCCTCTGAATCAACTCCTCCACGCCGGCCGTAATAAAAGTGCAGCCAGCAAGACGATCATTCTTTCGTCCGCGAAGTGAGCTGTCTGCTGTAATAACTGTAGCATATATCGTTCCAATTTTAATCACTCCCTCTGCTACAGCAATTAACCTTGCAGCACCATGGCCAAAATTGAGCATGTCACCGAGAAGCCCAAGCTGGACCAGATCCTGAAGGAGGCCGGCAATAAGCTGGTGGTGCTGGACTTCCACGCCACCTGGTGCGGACCCTGCCGGAATATTGCGCCCAAATTCGAGGAATTCGCCAACAAGTACGACGCCGTGTTTCTCAAGGTCGACGTCGACGAGGCCGAGGAGATCGCCTCCACCTACGAGATCACCTCCATGGTAAGGCAGAATTATTATAGTAATTAACGATGGGTTGCCTGGCTGCACGATAAGATAAGATACGACACAATAAAATTATGAGCATAAAATTTAAGTAATTTATGTCCAAAATTAAGCCAGTTAAGTAAGACAATTTCCTGTTTGAAGCGTTTTCAGTGAAGCTTCAACTACATGAAAAGTTTATTGTATTGAGATGATAATTCTGAAAAATTAATTTTACAAATTTAAGCAATTGATAGTTATTATTTTATTAAGAGTGCTGTTCTTATTAATTATTAACAGATTTTTTTCTCTTGGCATTAGGTGAAAATACAGAACGAAATGAATTAATTTCGCGGTTAAGCAGATACGGTTAAATCTGTTATACGCGTACTGTTATTATTATTATGGTTTATAAATACGCAAACCTCAGAACACATTTTATAATTGTCAATTTAATTTGGTAAACCTTACATGAAGTACTCGCGAAAATTAGTGATATATTAAAATACTGTTAGAGTTAATAAATTTCATATTAGAATTTCCGCAGTACATATTAGTAGTATCTTAAAGAATAACTATGTGATATTGTACCGTGTTCGTTTGGTCGCTTCAGCTTGATAGTGTTAATCAGTTATTTATGTGCTTATTTTAAATATGCAAGCCACAAATGGAATTAATTGTCATGTGAATGTGTTCCTTTGCAGCCGACGTTCGTCTTCGTGAAGAACGGGAAGAAAGTGGATAGCTTCTCGGGAGCGGACGTGAACAAGCTGGAGCAGACCATCAAGAAGAACCTGTAAACAGGCCTGCCGCGCCGCGCGTGCACAGCCGGCCGGTGTGTGTGCCTGGGGAACAGTAATTACTCATCATGACGCTGCTTAATTTTCCGACGACATTTCTTGCTTTTCTGCGCCGCACTGAAATCCGCCATACAATATGATTGTTTTCTATTCTGCATTACGCCCTTGTTGCCGCTGTTGTGTAGCGGAGCATGCATTTGCCGGCAGCTGGAGGCTTCAACCATGTGCAATATAAATTCAGCAAGTGTTTTTCCATTTTTACTCTTTTATGCAATTTTGGCTGAATGTGAGAAATAAGAGAAAAAACAAGTACCACGCCATAATTGCCATAATGCGTAGTCGCAGCCACTTAATTCCACTTTGCTGATAAACATACTTTAAAATCATCAAAAGGAGCTTCGAAACGGTCTGAAATTAAAATCTTGCATTTTTAATTAGCATTAGAACAGTTATCGGTAAAGAAAGCGAACGACTTAAACGCCGAATAAACCAAATGCAGCGCTTGTGTTCCCAAAGCGTTTTGTATCGGCAAGTGACTGGATGAAGTGTATTTATGTCTTGAAAATTAAAATAATGATGAACTGCGTAATTTTGCGATTAACCTTTAATAATGTACGTGGACCAATGAAAACACAAGCCCATCGAAAGATCTAGAAGCGGTATGTCAGTCACCGTTAATCGTTCAGTTCTCTGCTTATACGAGTAAAGAAAATATACGAGTAAGAAAAATATTCTGAATTAAAATTTCAAACTGATCTTTAAGGTGATAAATGCTGACTTATCGTTGAAAACCTGAACATCAATAACCCAAGATTTTAAATTACATATCAGGTTGTACATGCAGATGAGAAAAAAGTAATAATTATGGAAATAAGTTATAAGTGGACTGTGGAGGCATGACTGTGGTCGTCAGTTAAAAGTGCGGAACGAAGCGAATTAATTTTCCGGTAGATACAATAATAATTATTGGATTTTACGTAATATACGCGCAGTATTATGACTCATAATTATGCAGATTTAAAGACATAATGTACAATTGTAAATACAGTTTGGTTAATAATAATTATAACGCAAGCGAAAAAGGATACTAATATGAAAATATTGTTATATTTAATTGTGATAACAAGGAAGTGAAGGAACCAATGCGCAAAATTAATCCAGGAATTTAGATGAAAAAAGTGTCAATGCGGTAATTATGTCGAATCAAATTACCATCATCCCGGATTAAGTTTTCTGAGCCGGATAATTACAGAGTATAGTTACGGAAATTAATGACGATGCAGTAATTATTATCGTTAATTTAGAAGTCCTTCGGAGATCCTTCATATACTTGCAGTATTTAAGAAAAATCGTACACTGGAGTGAGCTTTGGTGCAGCGCTATTAGCCGAACATAAATATAGAATATCACAAATCAAATCGAAAAGTGTTTACGGGCCGGCACACTGGAGAAAGTAGGATTTCCGGTGCAATTCCGCAGGATATATCTACTCGTACGTGTAATGAAATACCGCTGTCGTACACGATGAGCTCTTGTGGCGCAATCGGTTAGCGCGTTCGGCTGTTATGAAAATTACGAATATGGGCACCGAAAGGTTGGTGGTTCGAATCCACCCAGGAGCGGATTTTTTGCTGTTGCAAGGGCTTACGTCGTGCAGAACTATATTTTTTCTAACTTGAAGGAGATAGCACAGATAGTAAAACTCCCTAGATTAGTATTTTTCAAACATGCGCAGTTTTTATGTACGTATTTATATATGCATCATGCATGTACATTTAACCATGTGCATACGTATTTTCGACCTGTGCAAAACAGTGAAAAGATCTATTCAATAAAAGTGGAAAATCTTCCCTGATTACCCAGATTCAGCCGCATTTTTTATACCTACCGGTACATGTACATGTATTTTCACAAGTTTAAGGAACACGAAAATGCCCTACGTCTGCTCGCAGCCACCCGGGGCCTGCCGCTGCGTTCATTGCTGCTCACTGATCTCTAAAATTCAAAAAATACAGTTTTAATCATTTTTGAAATTACTGTTGCTCATTACGGGGCCCTATTTTACAGCTCACAGAATAGTACTCGTATATGAAGGTATTTAACATACAAATTTCCTAATTTGCTACATGCAGTGATGCACGTATCTCTGACTCTCTTCATTTTTCTCCTGGCTTAGCGCCAGTAGACTGCACTATTAATTGCAGAGCGGCACTGACTGATTATTATTTATTGATGATGTATAATACGTACTGTATACCTATCCGTGTATTTATGTAATTATGTACAAATATTATATACAGATTTACAATGGCGCTAATAACTTCATAAGGTGGATATGTTCTAAGCCTGGCTATGAACAGAAGAATTAATGCATAAAGTTATCCATAAATACTATTATAAATCTGCACAGGCGTATTTGTGATGCGGAATAAAAGCTTTCCCTATTATGGCGTATTGTACATTAAATATTATTGTGAATTAGTACCTATTACTCGTACAAGATATCTGTTATTACAATACTAGTAAACTGTCCCGACCAGGATTTTATTTAAACTTGTTTTTATTCCTTCCGTCACCACACCACATTGAAACGCCATTAATTGCACCACCCATTACAAAATCAAAGGATTATCGGTGTACTCGAACGCACGTTTACTGACTTTACATCGACCGCATGCGGCAATACTGCGGTACATATTACAATGTATTACGTAGCATGGACATTGAAGTTTTTCTACGATGGCTAATTTAATAAGGGATGAGTTTGACGTGCTTGTCGGGGGAGATGCAAACGAACGAGTCGACGTTGATGAAAACGTCGTTGCACTTGGACTCGGTGACCGGCACCCAGGTGCCGTTGACGCGTTTCTCGGCGTTGCCCTTATCGTCGAAGACAACGACGGTGTCGACATCGTAAATATCGAAGCCCTTGCCGTTCTTCTCGTACGGCACCCACTGGTTCTGCTTGAAGTCAAACTTGAAGATCTTCGAGTCCGTGTCTACATACCTGCAAAAAATTATTAAAATATATATATATATATATATATATATATATATTAATATATCTTATTTAAACTGTGAAAATATTCTTTGAAAAATATTGCAACTTCAAAATTTAAACAAATCAACCTTAAGCAAAAATACCCCTGAGCAAGATGAACGATGAGCAAGATAGCAAGTTAGCAAGATAATGAAGCAGTTTTTTAATGCTTACAGTACGAATGTACAATGTACGAGTAGAACCGAAACCACATACCGATAGACGGTTCGGTTTAACGCATGTCGTCGAAATTAGCTCTTTATGTGCGTACCTAGTGCCGGCGATTTACACAATGGCTCGGCTGCACACTGTTTCTTGGTTTTATAATATAATTAATTTTGAATCGCGGACCGACTGTCTAATGTCTGTGTCCTAGCTGTTTTGTAGTCTGGTTAATTCCGGTAACGAACGAGACTCTAGCCTGCTAAATAACCAACTCATGCGTCGTATAAACTTACATAGCGGATCCACCGTATCCAGTACCGGAATCACGAGCGTTCTTAGCGTTCTCATCCTCGATCCACTCGTGGGCGACATAGTGGAAGAGACGGTTGTCCTGTGTGACGGCGTAGGTCTCGTCATAAGTGCGCGGGCTCACACGGGCAAATTTAACACCGTCCGGTTGACCGGGGACCTATAACGCAATCAGTCTGCAGAAGTTTCGTTGACATTTTTGCAACGGTGTTACACTGACCACTTCCGGCTTGCCCTGGTAGTGCACTCGCCACACCTTGCCCTCGGTGTCGACATACCACAGGCCGTCATCATAGCCATTGAAAGAGTAGGCGACGTTGTCGGCGATTTGGGTCTCGACCTTCTTGAAGCTGCCGGCGGGGTCCGAGCGGATGAGTTTATTATCGGTGGTGGTGTAGTACATGGTGCCGGCCGGGACGCAGGCGCCGGCACCGGTGTTGCCGGTCGCGTAGATGGTCGGTTCGGTGCGCAGCACCTGCACCTTATTGCCCGGCTTGTTGCCGCCTGCTTTGTGATCGCCCGGTCCCTTCATCTTGTTCCCGGGACCGCCCTTGCCCGCGGCGCCCTTCTGCGGGGTGGCAGCCGATAGAACGGCCGTCGCACCTATAAGCAGACAAAATCAATACTGTGCAGTTTAATTTTGAGCCAGACCTTAAGTTCGTTGCAGGGTTGCCTGCTCTTATGCCGTAATAATAATAATAATTATTGGATATCGATATAGACGGAAATTAATACGTAGTACTGTATATATAAAGGTCAAGAAGAAACTATTGCTCACCGATCAGAACCAGGGCCAACACGGTGATTCCTCTCATTTTTGCAAATTAGGAAGAAATCAACCCTTGCAGAAGACGAGCACACAAAGCCGGACAAAATTTCTGCTGCAGCTGCCGAGTGTTTATATGGCAAGGCAATGCAGCAAAAGTTGGCCTGGCGATCAGCATGCCCGCGGGGTACAGGATGATTACAAACAGCTGTATCGTACAGGCTTTACGAGCGGAGCGGCCGAGCATGCTCTGCTGCAACTTGTACGTACGTACATACACAGCGAACAAAGGCCGGTATAGCCGGCTCAGAGTCCCAGACAAAGACTGACCAGTGTCCGCACTGCACCGTTCTTTGTGTCGCTTATCGCACTAGCAAAGCTATATGTGGACATATAGCCGCTGTTTATCGAGTGGAAATTACCCTGGATGCTGCACCGGCCAAACCGGTTTTCGTTCTCGGAAACAAAGGAATTAATTCCGGTGTTGTGCACAGCTGATCGCCCTTCTATACAAGCCTTGGCACAAAGCCTTCTTTCATCTGCTACGTCAATCATCCACGCATCCAGGGATGCGACGTAAATTGTGCTTGTGTTGCGAACCTTTGCGGTTACGATTACAACCATAGGCAACATTTTGTTTGTCCTGCAGGCGACGGATCTTCACATGTTGTGGCCATTGTTTCCATGACTTTACCTGTCATGACCTGTCTATTTTTCCGCCAAGTTAAAACCGTTCCAGTTTAAGCCTTTATAAATTTCTTTCCATTATATTAAATAACGGATAAAAATGATGGAATATCCTAAACCAATATACTGTAGTTTCCACGAATTTTCCAAGATTTAACGCTTAATGTTTCAAGTTCGTTGAAAGAGCAAATAACGATAAACATAATTATCTATAGTCGATGTGTAGCATTTACAATGGTAGAAATATTTAATTCATTCGTGGGGAAATCGCTTCCCGTGGAACATAATTTATTTTAACGAAAACCGTTAAGCCGAAAATTTAATTAAAGAAATTCAGAAGCGTCCGGCGGCTGAAGGCCTGAAGCAACTGCAACCGCTCGGTGTGGCAGCGTAATGCGAATGCTATTGATTTTCCATTCCTTTCCTTTTTGATTCTTGCTTCAAAAAACCACTTTCGCTGCACTGTTTCTGTTAAAAAATTAGGAATAAATTCCAAGGAACTATTAAGTCGTGTAAGTGAAACAGTGCGAGTGCCAATATCGTGATTTATTGCCGGAATTTCGAACCGGCGAAAGGTTTCTTTGGAGTAACAGCGACATCATTCCGCCTGCAGCTGAAACCGCAAATTCTACACATCCGGCTGAAACAATTCAGTCATTGGCAACATTATTTTTTGCCGTAAATGCGTCGTCATCTGCGTCGTCATGGCCAAATTAGCTGCAAGAAAATTACACAGCGAGCGGCAGTCAAAAATTAACACAGCGACCGCATCTAGAACAACCGCACACGTAACTGCCCGTCCGGCTCAACCGCCGGCGGCACCGTTCCGCTAATATTCAAAATCCTCTTCACCCGCTCCATGACTTCCTTCCGCGAATCATCCACAATAAATGTAAATAATTCCGCTAAACTCGTGTTGCTAAACGGCAAATCAGCCTCGGAAAACGAGCAGTTATGGTAAAAAGAGTGGTAGGCGGGTTTGGCGCGCCAGTTCACCAATCCCTTGCGATCCCACATCAATTTCCGTTCCGTGATATTCGGATTCCTCGCCGTCTCATCGTCAAGGTAAACATTTAAACGGTGACCGCTGTCCGCGTGGTACAGCAGCATCGGCACATCGCCCGAGTTGTACGTCCACTCGGGGCGGTAGTCCGTGCGGTAGCGGTGCAGAATATCCCCAATAAATCGCGCCTGCTTCCTGCACCCGATAAACCCGATATTCGCCTTCATATCCGCCTCCCGCGAGATGACACACTCGTACTCCTTTAAAATTCGCAAAATATGGGTGATATTTGGCAACACAAACACATCAAAATCGAGCGCCAATCCGCCGTAGCGTTGCAGCGCGTATAGCTTGACTAAATCGGCTTCGTGCGCGATAAACGACGGCCAGCTGTGTAACCGCCACCCGCCGGTGTGAAACGCACGCCGCGTGGAAATGATCTTTAAACTGGAATAATTGCTAATTAAATTCTCGCAGGTGTCGAAGGGCCAGTAATCCGGGAAGTTGGTGTGCAAGTAAATTCTCCGCGGCTGCATAAAGTGCATGATGGACAGGAGACTGAGGCATTCCGTCCAGCATAGACTGTGTTTCCAGGGTTCCGGCTGGGCGTGGTATAAGCGAACGAGATGCACCGGTAAATCATCTGCATTCTCATCGATGCAGTCGTCCACCGGGTTTTGACATTCCACTCCCTGGACGTTCAAGTTTTCTGGAATACTGTGATAATTATTTTTTGGCAATAACAGACAAATTTGGGAAAAATAGTACAGTGATGTCCAGGAGAGTCCCGCGATGATTAAAAATACTATTGATTTCATGATGGCTGGAAATTCTATAATTGCCGGTAAAATGCTGTTGTTGTTTTCCTTCGACTAGTTTGGGTGTGTATTTTTAGCGTTCGACTGGAGTTTTTTGATTAGAAATTTTGGAGTGTGTTTGTTGCATGATAATACACTACTTTTTAAAATTCGCTGAAGATGCGCTGCCGGTCAGTAGAGCTTCAAGTGGACCTTGCCGGGTATTGCATAAGAATTACGTTGCGTGCCAGTGAACCACGCTTGCTATCACTCGTTCACTTAAAATTTTCGCGTCATAAAATCTTCATTATGTAATAAATACATTAAATAAGTATTTTTAATAAATAAAGTAAAATAAATGCATACTCCATAATTGTGGATAATTGTTAAATTACTCTTGATTTTTTGTTAATAATTATTAAATTGTTTATTGATTACTTTAATTATTTTTTAGTTACTAATATTTAATATAACAAAAATCTTGTATTTCGTTTCTTATTCACATTTAATCGGGTTTGTTCAGGTTTTGAAGATCCGTATTTTATTTTAAAGAACAGTAAACTGTATTTTGTAAGTAATTTAAACATAGATACACAGAACAGTAACACTATAAAATGCGAGTTTGCGTCAGTTCCAATAAATATCAAAACAGTCATTTCCGTTGTACGAGAATTTTCAGAGTAATAACGCATTCGTTTCCGGCGGTTGTTCTTCCGGTTTGAATTTTACGCATTCTATCAACAGCATTAATTGCGTTAAAACTTGAAACATCGTAGGCGCATGACGAGTTTGTATCGGATGCATCACACAACCACCGCCGGGCGGCACTATCAGCCGACTTCCGTTGCCAGATGACTCGCTCTGCAGGTTTTCCTCCAGTCCACCGATCACACGTCAGAAATATTGCTGACTTCTCTTCATCCGAAATGTTTTGAATTTTTGCATGCGCGTATTTTTTCTTGTTGCTTACTACCGGTGCCATTAATCCTCGTTCTAACCCTGTTCTTTTTAATTTTTCTTATTTATAATTTTTATATTTTGCGCTTGAGTCCGCCTGCTTGCACGGATTGCACGCATTTCAACCGAAAATGTCTGCAGCGATTTTGTCGATGCCTCCGCTGAAGAGCACACCCGGTTGTCGCGCCCGCGACGACACGATGCATGCCAAGAAGCCTTCCTTCCGCTGGCTGGCACCCAGCAAGAAGGATAAACAGGATGCAAACGGGGAATTGCACGGGAAATCCGAGGGGAATCCTCCTGGGGCGAGGTAAGCGCGTCGTCTGTACAGACGCGAAAAGGAAGCGCGCATGCCGTGTCTTCCTCGTAGACAGTATACGGTAAACACGCAGTAGTACAGGAGAATTGCAGCAAGCGCTTAGGATTATTTTTAACCCTAACGAATTTTTCATTACTGCGCGCAGCAGTTTCTTCCTTGTACGCAGTATAGTGTTATGCTTATATGGAAAAGAGAATTTGTAGCACGCGCGTAGATTATTTATTGTTTGTGATGGATTTTCTTTTCCTTGTATCGCTTTCGGTAAACCCGGTTAATCATTACTGAAAAATCGTCCGGATGCGCCGCGTTTGCGTTAATTTTTGATTTGTATTGATTTTTTATTCGGGAGATCATCAGCTGATCCTTGTCAGGTTGTTTGCATGTCGCGCTGACTCGCGCATCACATGTGTGGCTGGATAATTGCCTTGATTTGTCGGCGATAGGGACAGCGCGTGTGTTAGAAATATTCGGCGGATTCTTTAGTCAGCATAATTTGCGCCGTTGAAGCGTGCAGCCTCGACCGTTTGACCTTGAAATTTGACTTTGCCTTTGAGCCAAAATTTGCAGCCGATTGTGATTGATTTTATTGAATATGCATGCCATTGCCGTGTACAGTTGGAATACGAATTTTATTGCTGTGTCAGCATTTTTACCGACGCTTATTTTAAAAACGACTATTAACGAAATGAGCGATACTACGAAAACAACATTATTAAGAAGTTTTATTGCTGCGTTAACATTTTTACCGACGCTTATTCTAATAAACGACTATTACTAATGAGTAACGAAATGAGCGATATTACGAAAAAAACATTATTAAGAAATATAACATTATTAAGAAATAAAAATGACAAAATTATTGATAAAAAACTAATGATCTGTACGGAGGCACTGTTAAAATAAATCTGCTATATTACTAATTTGTTGTTCGTATCGCCAAAGCAGAAAAGAATTTACTGCTGTACAGTGGAATTTTTTTCATTATGCCCGGATTTATTTTTGGAGATACGTTAGCAGGAAATTAATTATATAATTTAATTCACTGGTACGAAGGCGGAAGGGATGCACTCTGACGTCTTTATATAACAAAAATAAATTATTTTCTAAATAAATCGAGAAAATAATATGTACATACATACTACATACCGTCAAAATAGAAATAGATGTACAGTGTAATTATGTTTACAAATCCGCGATTTATTTCGTTTTATCCCTTATTTATTTTTTTGGAATTAAATTCGCCGGAAAAAATAATGCATAAATTATAAAAAGATTAATAAATGATAATATAATGCAGAAAGTTTAAAATACCGGTACTATGTCAAACTGAGCGGTGGATTTTTTGCAGCGATCGCCTGGACCTGGCGCTCCCCGCCACATCCGCACCGCGTCCCGCCGGGGTGTGTACACCCTCTTTCCCCATTTTCCCCACCCTTGACGCACTTCCTGTCCATGCTAACCTTCCCAGTTGTATTTCAGACCGCCCCCCGCCGACCCTCCCTGCAGCGCGCCCAATCCCTCCGCGAACGCGACCCCGACGCGCTGGAATCCCGCCTCCCCCTGGCGGAGCTGAAGAGCATCCTAAAACGCTCCCGCTGCCTGTCGGAATGCCCGGTGGAGCCGCGGGACGTGCGGGAAGCCTCCCCGGACGAATTCTGGTACGAGTTCCGCTCGGTGGAGGAACTGTACGAGGACGGCTGGCGGAAGCGGGTCAGTTTCAGCGAGAAGATCACGCTGAACAGTTTCCGCCCGGGGACGTGTATCCTGCAGCAGAAACAGAAGGCGCAGCGCAAACGGGAGAAGCGGCAGAATAAGGAGCGCCGCCGGACGGCCAGTGAGAGTGATGCGGCGGAAATCGCCGATTTGACGGTATGAATCGACCGATTTCCGTATTCCAATTGCCGCGGTTTATTTTAATTGTTTTTATCACCAACTTGAATAGTTTTTACCATTATTTTCTCAGTTTGTTGATAGTAAATTAAGTAAAGGTTAGTTTCTGTCATTAGTTTTGTTAATATTTTACCATGTTCACCACTAAATCGGTTATTTTTTAACCATTATTTCAGCTAATTTTTAGCATTAATTCCATTAAGCGCAGAATGCAGAGCTTTATAATTTTGCTTAATTTTTTTGCCTTGTTTACTGTCATTTTGAATCCTTTTTTACCGTTATTTTGAATAAGAACCTTGCTTGCCATTAGTCTGAATTATTTTTAACATTATTTTGAATAAGAAATTTTCTACCGTTGTCTTTTTTTCGATTATTGGTGTGTTCTTGAGTTCTTATTATTATTTCGATGACGCGATAATTGGGTAGATTTGTCCCATGAATTTGATTAAGTTGCTTTATTAAAAAAATTTGATTATTTATTGACAATAATTCTAATACGGTTCACATTTATCCGGTCAGTTTCTTTGCCATTACTGTATCTGTAGTTTAGTTAATTTTTGTGCCATTAAAGAGATTATTCTTACCAATAAATAAATTGGTCTTTTATGAATTTTCATTTGAAATTTGTTATTTCCTTCTTTTTATTATTTCGGGTGATTTGCGTTGACAAAAAAATCATTTGTGTAGAATACGATGAGCGATCTGCGCGCCGCCCGGCACAACGACTCGGATTCGGGTCTGGAGACGGACGGCAGTCCCACGCTGGAGGTCGGTACATGGGCACTTTTAGTAAGCGAAGATCTGACACATTTTCCCGCTTTTTTCCCCACTATTTTTTAATCAATAATGTTCTAACTAATTCTGAATTTTTTATCAGGATGTGGCCGAGACGGAGGAGGAAGTCTGGGACGAATCCGCCGCCACCGACGCGCCCCTGTCCAAATCGAAAAAGAAGCGCAACCGTCGCAACCGCAAGGGGAAAAGCGAATAAAAATTATCTCAGCTATTTTCCGTCCGGTGTTTCGCCGTGGGTGTGTCAGCACAAGAAAATCTGCATTGCTTTCATTGTACATTTTGTTCTTTAGAGAGAGAAAATTTCCGATAAAAAATTCAGTATTATATTTTACAAAAATTGCCCGTTAAAGATTGCACAGTGCGTTGTCGGCATTTTTATCCTGCATGTTGTTGTTCGGAAAAAGTTAATATTTGACTTATTTGTTGCATGATTTCCGGTTAATTTGGCAGCGTCTGACGTTCTTTTCGGGGTAATGTTTTCCTCATTTTTATGGAAGTTTTTTTGTTAATAATAGTAAGCAAATTATCGTTGTCAGCGTGGTTATGCGATGGAGTCTCCTGTACACAGAAACAGTAATAAATTGCGAATTAATAAAAACGGAAAATTAAAATTGATGTAAAATTGCAAACCGAAACCAGCCCATAATTCAGATTAGAATAATTTATCATGGGAAAATCATCCATTTATTTACATGACATTGTCATGACAAAAGGCTGTTACGGTAAAATATTAAAATCAAAATTATTATTTATTTTCACTTTGAAATTACACCCGCTACAAAATCTTCAAACTGTGCGACTGTACGTATCATGAGACCGTAAACACGGGGCGGTTGGGCATATGCGCACACTTGCCAGCTGCCATACCAGTTAAAATATCCAATTCGGCCGTTTCCCTGTAGCTGTCGTGGCGCCTAGCCTACAACACACCGTGAAAAGGGGCAGCGCAGCTATAATTAACACTGCTTCCAGTGCGACCATCCCCCGGACGAATGGGCTACGGTGGTGACGCTTTCCCGTTCAAATTCCACCAGCTGTTTGTTTTGCGCGTGTTGTTTTGCAACTTTTTCGATTTTGCCAAACCAGCAAAACTCAAAAAAGGCTGGAAACTGTTTTTTCCCAAACGTTTTTATTTGTTTCTTGTTGTATTCACGAACATTGATAATTTTAAAAATTTATTTTATTACTGCAGAGCTGCATGATTTGCGAAAGCAGTGATTGCTGTTGATTTGTGCGCGAACTGAAGTAGTCACGTAGCGCTTGTCGAAAACAGGAGCAAATCGTGGACAAGTGTCCGACATCCTGTTTTGCTCTTTGTCCACGACGGGCTGTTATTGTGGAGCTGAATGGGAGCGCGCAATTCGCACGAAGAGTGGGACGGTGACGGTGCGGATCAGCGGATGGACGAGGAGAGCGGCGGGGAAGGCGCTGCTGCCAATGCCAACGCGAACGCGAACGCTCCAGCCAACAACGCGCCCGACAACGCTGCGGCGGACCGTCCCGCACTCGAGCCCCGCCGTCATCAGGGCGGCCAGCGCGCCGTCGACATTCTCAGTGCACTCGACTATCTGTATCGCACCGGGCAGCTGCGGGTGATGCCCAGAAGGTAAACGGAGGTGGTTGATTGAAAGTGTAGAAAGCATGTCTGAACGCGCAGACGCGTGCAGATGTCTAAACTGCACTATGGACATAATTTCCCTGTTCCGTAACTGTGCAGTAGAGCTGAACAGGTAACGTTATCGATTGTGCTGCATTGAAGTTTTAGTGTTTTTACTTTTTTCCTGGGGAATATCCATCATTATTATCTATATCCCTTACTAAATACTAATTAACTAATAATTTATTTCATTATTTCTCTACCGTTTTTTCATTGCTTATTTAGCCAGTAATTATGGAAACTGGATAATGAAAAAATATAATTTCTGAAAATGTTTTTTCCGAATTGGTTTTCTGTTATAGACCTGAAAATTGCCGTAAAATCATTTCAGTAATAATTTTGTAATTTAGTGTATGGTTTCCAGCTTTTCGAAATGCCGGAAGGCCGGTTTGATTATTGAAGTGATTGCATTTGACGCTTGACGCGAGATGATTGAAATGTTGATTTCATTTTGTAATTCGTCATTTACTGTATGTTTGTAATCTTTTTTTCGACACAGAGGAAATCGGGGTGACGCCGCAGAGCCAGCTACAACCCCGACGCCGCAGCATCCGCCGGACACGACGGCCATGGACAGGAGCGACTTCAAGCACCACGTGATGCTGCGCAGCGGTTTGATGGAGCCGCCGCCCACGGACTACCCGCGGGGGTTGGTGCCGCTGTTCGCCCTGCGCGAATTCCGTCCATTCCGCCCGGCCGAGAAGGTGCAGCTCATGCAGAACCACCTGCCCAGTGTCGCCACGAAACTGATGGAGCTGGATGATAAACTCTTCTGTGGTCTGCACAGGTACAGAGAAAATAAATTAAATAAACAGTTATAACGGAAAAATAAATAATGATAGTAAGAAACAAAAATAATAGTATTTTATGTATTTTAAATAATCAGAATACTCAAGAGAATGAATAAGAAAGAATTCAAATGGATAATAGGTCAAAGTAAGGCAGAAAAATAAATTTGTTAATGAAATTTTAATAAGTACAGTAAATACAGTTGCTTGTGTGGACAGTCTGGATGGGAATATTCTGATGTCGGCCGGACAGGATCAGCGCATCCGTCTCTTCGACACCTCCAAATCCCACACCGTCCGCAGCAAGTTCGACGCGTTCCGCACCATCGTGGCACGGGATGTCGGCTGGAGCATCGTAAGTCGGCCAAATTATATTTGGCGAAATTACCGGCACCTTATGGCTTATACTGATCGGTACTCCAACGAAATTGACAAACTAATTCAATAAAAATTCTGAAATAATGTTTTTAAGAAGAAATAAATAAAATAGGTGCTGTTTCGATGATTTGCTAAGTAAATGCAAGTTGCAACGACACTGTTACATACAACAAAAATTTCAGTGTGAATGATTTTTCAAAATAGAAATGCAATATTAATCGTCATTATTTGTTGAACAACTATAGCGCATTTGACAAAAATTAGTCTAACAAAAATTTCTGAACGCTTATTTTTTGAAAATAAAAGTCTTTGCTGTTGTCATTATTTGTTCAGCAATTGATTACCACTGCGTTGTGCAACGTTCAGTAACGAGGGGTGTTTTTTTTTGTCGGCTGCAGCTGGATGTGCGTCTGAGCACGTGCGGCCGTTTCGTTGCGTACGGGAGCTGGTCGGACGCCGTGCACGTGGCGTCCGTGCACAGCGACAGCGTGCACGTCGCGGTCCCGCTGAATCCCGGCCAGCCCAGCACCTGCGGCGTCTTCTCCCTCATGTTCTCCCATGACGACCAGGAGATCTTGTGTAAGCAGGCCCAGCGCGTTATCCTGTCGTTCTCGCGTCGCGCGCACTTTTCTTTGCCCTTAATTAATTTTTAATATTCATTTTTTGAATTTAAATTTTTTCCTACGGCTTTCCATTGGGCAGATGGCGTGAATTTTATTTTGTGTTAATTAAGTGTTTTTTTTTGTTAATTAATTACTTAGTTAATAAAGGTTAGGAAATGATTTCTAGCATAGTGCATAATATTTTCCAGTTGGAATTACTTACGAAAAAAAATGTAGGTGATTATTGATTAGAAATTTTAAATTTTAACGAATAAATAATAAACTTCACCCGTATTTGTTTTAGAGTTTAGAATAAATATTAAATAATTTTAATGCTCGTAACTGGAATTTTTTATTTGTCATTTAAAACAGTCTGTTAAATAGTAATCAAATGGTTGGATTTAAATTGTTTGTTTTTGATTTAATTTTTGAATTTCCTTGAATAATTTTTGATTGGGCAGGTGGCGTGAGTGAATTTTTATCTTGGTTTTGCTATTTATTACTAATTAATTAGTTTGTTAATGAAGGTTGTAAAAAATGATTTATGGCGTAGCGCCTAATAATTTCAGTGGGAACTGCGAAAAAAAATTAAGGTTGATTATAAACTGTAAACTTTTTTGAATAAACAAAACGATACTCCTATTTGAATGAATATTACATAATTTTAATGCTCGTGACTAAGATTTTTTATTTGTCATTTAAACATTCTATTAAAGAATTGTTTGTTTGTGAATTTTCTTGAGTAATATTCGGATTGGCTAGGCGGCGTGAACCAGGGCGACATTTACGTGTGCAACCTGACGGGCCGGTCGCAGTGCATCGTGGCGCACCAGGAGGACGTCAACTGCGTGGCATTCGCCGATCACTCCTCGCAGATCTTGTACAGCGCCGGGGATGACGGGATAATTAAAGTGTGGGACCGTCGGACGCTGTCCGAGAGCCGGCCGCGGCCCTGCGGCTACTTTGTCGGCCATAAACACGGGATCACTTTCGTGAGTAATACGGCCTTTTACTTGCGCGTTGTTTCGCGATCATTAGTTGACGAAAATCTAATTTTCATTCGATTGGGAATTTTCTCGGGATGTATTTTGAGAAATCTGTTAACAATAATACACGAGTACGCTTTCGTGGACATATGCGATAACGTAGTGTGGTGGCTCTTTACCATTACTTGTGCTTCGTAAGTTGGCCAAACTAAACAGTAGAGTTGAGAAAAATTAATATTATTAGAATTTTTATTACTAAATTTCCATGTAATTTCAGGTTATTTTACATGAGTTGCTTAATAGTACCGAATTTTTATGACTGAATTTTCATAAAATTAATTGATATTTTCCAGTGATAATTGTTGATAACCCAGTTTTGACTAACGTCTGAAGTGGCAGCGTTTTTGCTTGTGTTGTAATTAATTTCTGAAGAATTTCATGGGAATTTCTATTTTACAAGAGATGGTTTGACATGTCCCATATTCTGCACATTTGCAGAAGTGCTTCTATGCATATTATATGGCAGACTAACTGGAATTGGATTTTTAGTAATTACTTGGAAATTTGAAATTAGACAAATTTTTGGAAATCACTATATATAAAAAAAATGTAAAAATTGCAAATATAAAAATCGACCCACACAGTTTTTGATTTCTTAATAAATGTTTAATTTTCGTTAGTTTGACCATCGTTGTCGTGAACCAGACTATGAGGACATTTAAGCCACCAGACTACGACATCGCACATGTCGACACAAAAAATAATAATGAATATCTAATATTCTGTAATATTTTTAGAATTAATCCGCTTTTGTTTGTGTGGTTACCGTCGAAATGGGCTAAATTTTTAGCATAATAACATTAGATTATGGTTAAAGTTTATCACATTTTCTTGAAAATATTTAATGGTTTTTGTAGAAATATTTGCTTCCGTTTCGTTGGGTTTGTTTGCGATTTGTAATTTTTGTAATTTTCTGCTGGTCGTCTCGCCAAAACGAGAATTTTGGAGAATTGTCAAATAATGTGTGGACGTTTCTGTGTCCAGTTGGATCCGCATTTCGACGGCCGTCATGTCCTGTCCAACGGGAAGGATCAGTGTATCAAACTGTGGGATTTACGCGCCTTTTCCCCACAGGAAGGCTTAGAGGTGCGCTGCAGTGACAATTTATCACGTATATTTTCATATGGTAACCTTTCGTTTTGCGCGAAGCTAGCGAAGAATTTTCCCTTACACATTCAAAGGAAATGCTGAAAAAAAATTTTATTTATAGTATCAGTGACTATCTCCTTTCTTTTCTTCCTTTTAAATTACTCAGTATTTTATTATTTTTTTTAAATTCTTGCTGAAAATTTCTACCTCCACATTTTTTATTACTGTATTTTATATTATTTTTTATTATACAGAGTAAGTTTATTTTTTATCATTTTTTACCTTTTAGTTTAATCATTTTAAATTACTCAGTATTTTCTAATTGTTTTGCATTCTTGCTGAAAATGTTTACCTCCACATTTTTATTACTGTATGTTAAATTATTTTTTATTATAAGTTTACTCAATATTTTATAATTGTTTTGAATTCTTGCTAAAAATTTTTACCTCCACATTTTTTTTACTGTATTTTATATTATTTTTATTACAAGTTTATTTTTTTGTAATTTTTTACCTTTTAATTTAGTCGTTGATTTTTTTTATTTATTCGGTTCGACAAGTCTTCCTTCTTTCTGTATTTTTTCAATGACTTTTCTCGGCGGAAATCGGGATTCGTATTATAATTTTGCTCATATGGACCGGTTAAAAAATTCGAAAACACATTTTAAACCATTTAAAAGGCACGGTATTTATGGCATTGGTCGGATATAAGTGGGGTTATGTGTGTTGGTACAGGAAGCGCGGAAGGCGGTGAACGAGAACCAGTGGGACTACCGCTACCGCAGTCGCCGGCCCATGTGCACGCGCCGCCTACGCCACGACACCTCCATCATGACCTACACCGGGCACGTCGTCTCGCAGACGCTCATCCGCGCCCGCTTCTCCCCCTTCGACAGCACCGCCTCGCGCTACATCGTCACCGGCGACGCCACCGGGATGGTCTACAGTGAGTCGCCACTTTATACTGATAATTATCAGATTATTATGCATTTAAATAAGGGGAATAAATTCAGCGTCAAACGGATGAGTGGAATTGAATTGTAACCCAGGATAAATATAGAATTTATCAATGGAATTACCTTGAATAAAAATCACATAACTTCCTTAAACCAATTTAGTAATGTGAAATCAATTGAAACAATTAACTTAAAATCAATGCAGCAAATTAATGGCGTTAATGGAGAAGCGAATTTAAAATCACATAGAAGTTAACTACTGTTTGGATTTAAGTGAGAATATTGAAATTGGACTGATTTTTTTCAAAAACTGTTATAAGTTTTAGAGGTTAGAATGTTGGATTGTCGGATTTTGCAAAACACTGGTAAAATTCACCGAAAGTCACTGCACTACGTTATTTTGATTACGATGTTATTGAAATAAGATCTGATTCTCGCATTGAATTAAATATTAACATTAAGCGAGGTCAAAGCGATTTCCCGCACACTTACCTGTCGGGGAATTGTGTGCGTCTTCTGCCGGAAAAACTTCCCGCATCTAGCGCATGATAAGTCCCGTCACCGGCCAAACTAAAGAAAATGAAGAAAAAGAATTAAATAAATTAAATTCAAATGTCAGTGTAGTAGAAAAAGGTAAATTAGATTAAAATGTGGTAAAAATTAAATGAAATAAAATAAATTGACGAAGTGGCAGTCATTGTTGTGGCTCTGTTCTCTGATTGACTGGTGGATGTGGCATTCGTTGCAGTTTTTGATTCACTGAGCGGAGAGATTATCAAGCGACTGCGGCATCACGACAGTGTGGTGCGCGACGTGTCCTGGCATCCGGTGCGGCCGGAAATCGTCAGCACCAGCGTACGTGTCATATATATTTTATTCCAGTATATTTTTCTTGAATTGCGCTGACTGACGGTAGTAAAATTTCAATCGAATAATTCTAAAATAATGGACAATAACAGATCATTTATTCAACAATATTTTTATTATGGGATAGTGTTAGCGGTTGTCACATTTACAATGTATTTTTTTGATGTGACAGAGTTGAATTATTATTGGTTGGAGCTTTGGTGGCAAATAAATTTCTATATGAGCTGAATTTAAATCTTGTTGAAAATAAAGCATCGGTTATTCCTTATTTTTTGTTCACTGTTAATTTTCAATTTTCTCGGAGCGTCTGTGTTTTGTAGGATGGATGTGTAAATAAAAATAACATTAAATGCAGGGAAAATTCAAATGATCGTTCATAGTCTTTTCGTTCGCCGTATTTTTATTGGATAACATCGACGGTAATAAAAGTAAACTGAATTTGAATTACAATTCGTATTTATTCAGTTAAACATATTAATCGAAATAAATTGCCGATTATTGGGCAGTGGGACGGATGTCAGACGATGTGGACGTGCGGCGGGGAGGAGGACGAGGAGATGCTGACGGACGACGACGATACGATGCGCGGCCAGCTGAGCTCCGATCCCTCCGACTCGGAGGAGTCCGGCTGAGAGATCGCTCGATGGTGTGATCGTTGTTTCAACGCGGTGCTGCTTGCTTGTATGTATGATAGACCTTGTGTTATGCTAGCAGAATTTAATCAACGGTTTTTACTTTTCAAAGTCCTTTTATCCACAGCAATGCAATGCCGACTTCGGCTTGTTTTTTTCCTCGCTTGAAACAGTGTACATAGTTTATATTAGACATTTCTTAAGTTTAAGCAGTCCGCAGAAATTTTAAATCGAAACTGGAATATGCAGAATAAATCAGAATAAATTTCTATAAAATCCGGACGGTAGCATACAATTAATAGGGTAAAATTAATAATTAAACACAATAAATTCTGTTATTCAATGGCAATGTTCTAAAACAATCTATAAAATTGATAAGCAATAAATTCAGCCGAGCCAAGCGCCCGCAGATTAAAATACTCAGCAAAATTGCAAAACAAACTTCAATTACTAAAAAAATTGTTCGTAATTAGTCACAGAAATTGTCCTTGAACGCGTATAAAACAACTGGGCGTATAGATTTTACAGGCACGCGACAGCAAAAACATTTTAATTTCTCTAAAAATATATAATTTAGTAAGCGTGTGCGGGGCATTAGAGGCCGGTTGTGCTGGGTGTGGCGTTCGGCAGGGCGGAGATGAAATCCTGCAGGCGAAGCAGCCGGGACATGTCCTCTTTCTGATCCTGCATCTGGTAGACGAAGAGGATGTAGGTGAGCAGAACCCCGAAAATCTATCAAGGAAATACACCGTTAAAGCCGATTTCCGGGAGCGTTGATAGTCTGTTCGAAGACCTCACTAAATCATTCAACCGACCGAGTAACGCTCTCACCGTGATGACGAACTCCCGGGTGATGTAGAAGAACCCACCCGCCGTCAGTGCGATCCGCGATCCCTGCAATCGGGACACAAACGAGCTGCAGAGAAACCGGTCCTCCTCGGCCGTGACGCGGAGGTTGAGTTCGTGAAGGTACGGCAGACACGAATGTGCCTGCAACGATTCCAGTGAACCTTCTTTATGAAGACTAATTGAAGAAAAGCAGTACCTTCTCGCTGACCCACACCCCGCAGCCGGTACGCAGCGTGGCGAAGAGGACGGACGCGGCGACGGTCATGAGGAAGAGCGGCAGGAGGTCGAAGTCGCTGTCGCCCTCCTTGACGCTGGATTTGTGCCGCAGGATGAGGGAGGCGGTAGCGATGAAGCCCATGAGGTCGTTGAGATACAGTAGCCAGGACATGGAGGAGAAGGCAGCGTCCAGCTGTGCCACGATGCGGGTCAGGCGCAGGTGGAAGTGGGCTTTCTGGCTGAGGGACAGCTGGCGCATGGTGTAGACGAATTTGTGCTTGACGTGGCCCTGCTGCACGCAGTGCTCCTGTTCCGAAAAATTTGACGAGATTGTTTACACGAATAACTGTGGCAATTCGAGAGCTATTTAGGAAGCGAGCGCTGTTGTTAGAAAACGACCAAAAAGCTCTCGGAAAGGTCAAGCCCATTTCACACTGATAACTGCGGTAATTCTGGAACTGATACGCAGAACCAGTTGGTTTCTTTGTGAAGCGCATACTGTTATTAATTTTGACGACCGTGCCGTCTTTGAACCGGCTGTAAATCGGGTAGCTTACGCAAAAACTGTGGTAATTCTAGAGCTAGCACGTGCAGGCTGAAGCAGCTGGTTTCCTTGTGGAGCGAAAGCAGTCCTTAGAACAAGACCGAACAGGTTTCCAGTTCGGTTAATACGAGCTCGTAGCTCACCTTGATGCTCTTGCTGAACATGTCGAGCCACAATCCGAGGGGGTAGATGAGCAGGAAAACCAGCAGCTGCGGATAGATGACCATGCCGAATTCGAACGTCATCGACACCGAGTAGGCGGTAGCCACGAACCAGGCCGGTGCGCTGCCGGCGATAGGGAACGCCGTCGGGCAGTGCCAGCCGCACTCCAGCTGCAGTTCGTGGCCGCTGCGTCCCGCTATCTTGGCGAAGGTATAGTAGTTGGCCACCAGGTCCACGATGATGGTCGTCAGGACGATGGCCGTGCACGCCCACGCCAGGCGCGCCACCTACAATCCAACAACATACACTAGATAAAATTTTATAGACTGTTTTAATGAAAACAGTTTGTAGTCTCACACTGGGTCTTTAGCAGGTTAGAGTCTCGTTCGTTATCGGAATTAACCAGACTACAATTTTTAAAAATGCGCTGACCTTTTGGCGAATCGAGTAGGTCCAGCGCGTGGCGCGAGGGATCTCATTAGAAAGGTCATCGATAGCCAGCAGCATGGTCCGCGCCTGCTTCGTGAACCGCCGCATATGACAGGCCACCACCACCGTGACGGTGACAAAAACAAACCGGTAGAACGCCATTCCGATCGCCGTGAACTCCAGCGTCGTCAGGCGGTTCTTGTGGCGCTCCACGCTTTTCCAGGTGTCCAGGAAACCCACCAGCGCCGCGAAGAAAATCAGAAACACGCGCCAGACATTGCCGCTCACGATTGCAGCCAGGGTGGGTCGGCGGATGGCCGGTGTTGGATGGAGATATAGCCCGAAGAGCCGGCACTGCTGCAGGAACCCGGCGACGGCCCACGACGACCAGATACTGCTGGAGGCGGCTAGTAAGGCCGTGTCGTGCAGGCTGATGCAGTCGGCATGACTGCTGCTGGCGCTGAAGCCGTCCAGGATGAAACTGGCGCTGGAGGAGATATCCATTGGGTCTATACAGTGATGACCTTTGGTTTATACAAATGGGAGACCAAATAACTGCGGGAATCAGCCAGCCGGTCCGCGGTTCAAAAACTGAATAGTAAAATCAACAAACAGTATAGATCTGGCACACATCAAAAGCGCGTAAATCGCCGGCACCGGATTCGAACAGAGAAGCACTCGTTTGCTTTATGTGCGTAAAAGCCGAGCATCTACATACTTTTGCAGTCCTACGTCGAAGATTGTTGGCTGCTTAGCAGGAAGGCTAGAGTCTCGTTCGTTATCGGAATTAACCAGGCTACAATGCAGAGCTAAAAGAAGTGGAAATCGGCCAGTCGAATCATAAAATCAATAAGTACATTTCGATTGCGCATAAAATCGCCGGCAATGGGTTCGAAACTTCGAACAGAGAAGTGCTGGTGTGCGCAGTATAAGAATAAAGGAATAGGTATTCTTTTCTCTAGTCGTACCTTGTGCATCCGGAAATGACTGACTGCGCTCAACTGCATTTCACAATCCAGTAGGAATAATAATATGGAAATCTTGGAGAACATTACGTTGATGTCAATGGCGACATTTACTCGTTTGTTTTCCCAGCCCGGGTTACGTTTATCCTGACACGGCGTTCCCTGGGAACGTTATAATCGAATGGATAATAGGCGGTATGTTTATTGTGACGGGTGGGAAGAGATGTGTGGGAAGAGTGGCAGATGATGCGCGTGATGGCTGGCTTGCTGCCTGGGAGACGTCTTGTTTAACCGCATTAAGCCGGCACAAGGTGGCCGTGGGCGTCATCAACAGCGCGTCACATGCCGGGCCGCGAATGAGATAATCTCATTAATCAGCTGTTCAGTGCTTCCATAGAATTGCGCAGTGTGAAGATGCCGGGCTGCTGCAACCGCTACATCAACATTATCTTGAAGCGTTTTTTATTGCAGCTCCACATACAAAAAAAATTTATTTTAATGCGCTGTTCTGCACATTTATAAGCGGGACTGAACGTGATCCAGAAGTGTAAATCACAATTCAGTAAAAAATACTCGTAGACAGGTACAGAAATGTCCGTGTGACAATACACAGATTACAGCCGCGTAGGCAAACAGGAAAGCATTCCGGTATGCTAGTACATTACGAGCGTGTATACAAGCTGTCAATAATGATGTGAGTGCGCTTAGAATAAATTTCGCCGCAAATTAAAGGCATTGGACAAATATATCTCTCGTCCACAAACAGAACCTTAATTAAAACGGCGACAAGTAGGATAGACAATAAAGCTACACGGCCAGCATCAATCGGGGCAGGCCGGATAAGGAGGCGACGTCCATTTTCTTGTCCTCCATTTGGTACACGAACAGCACGTACGTCAGTAGGATACCAAACATCTATGAAATATACACAACCACACTGGGAAATTGGGAATGCTGGCAAAAGTAAGTAAAACGAATTTCACTGCACAGTATTTTCGCCTACCGTGATGACAAATTCCCGGGTGACGTAGAAGAATCCGCCGGCCGTCAGCGCGATCCGCGTTCCCTGCAGCCGTGCCACGAAGATGCCGCATAAAAACCGGTCATCCTCGCGGACGGCGCGTAACTGAGCTTCGTGCAGATACGGCAGCACTGAATGCGCCTATATCATTCGATTCGCTCAGTAAATAAACTGCCGGTTACGAAGTTAAATTACAAAATTACGGAGCTTATGACGTTAACATGATAAATTATCAAAATGTCTGTTTAAAAAAATCGCATAGCAATACCGTAAAGGCACGCAGAATCACATCAATGTAAATAAAAAAATGTATGCAGTTGCATTCGCTCATGTATTTACAAAGTACCGTACTATGCACACGATTTTACTCGTATTAAACTTTTGCTTACGGATGCGCACGTTGCTTGTTAGGCATCGTTTCATTTCTTCTGTAATAAATTCTTTAATAATTCCTCTTACGTTCTTGCAATAATTTCTTGAAATTATTGTATTTACTGTAGTTAACATTATGCGTATTGCTGTTATTACTGCTTCCGGATTCCGCGAGAAATAAATTAATTTATATACTAGTATTCATTTAAATTTTACTTTATGTAACAACAAAAAAGAGTTGCATACTGTATATCATTATGTAAAAGGAAAAGCAGTTATTTTATTTACACAATAATTTTTATTTTACTCGTGTGTACGTTAGCAAATCGCCTACCTTCTCGCTGAGCCAAACGGCAAACCCCGTCCGCAGCAGCGCATTCATCCCGGAAATCAGCACCAACCCAATAAACACCGGCAGCAGCTCCACATCGATATACTCCTTCGTACTATCCCGATGCAGCCCCAACGATGTCGTCGTTATAAACCCCATCAAATCCGCCAAATACATCAACAACAGCACCATCGAGAAATGCCGGTTCACCGTCCGCACCACACTGGTCAGCTGCAGGTGGCGCGTTGTCGCCTGCCCCACATACCCCTCCGGCCAACCGCCCGGCGGGGCGGTCAGCCCGACCGCCAACTGCCGGAAGTGTAATCCCAGCGGATAAACCAATAAAACGAGGAGCAACTGCGCGAACACGTCCACACCGACGTGGATCGTGAAGGCGACCAGATACAGCACAAAGGTCACCCACACCGGCACCCGCCCCAGGAGGGGATTGGGGGTGTCGCCGGTCCACCCCCCGTCGGTGGTCATCCGGTTGACGATGAGGGAGAAGCTCCAGTACGCCGCTAGCCAGATCGCGACGAGCGAAGCGAGCCCGAAGGCGAAGCAGGCGAGCGCAAGGCGGTTGATTTGCCGGCGCATTCGCCGCTTTTCCGTATCCTCGTTGCATAAAGTATTCAGCTGAACTAAGAGACTTTTAAGGCGGTCGCTCATCCGGCATATTTTGACGATGGTCAAGAAGCATTTCAATCCGAAAAACAGCCGGGTGATCATCATCGCCAGTGCGGTGAATTCTAGGGAGGATATTCGGTTTTTATAACGGACCAGGGACTTCCATGTATCGAGGACGGTGGCGGCGATAGTCAATATAACGAGGAGCAGCTGCCAGGCACGGAACTGCGACACCCCGCCCCGCGGGCGGCAGGCCTGGTGGCAGGGGAAAATCCCGAAGCAACGTAACAAGAAAAAGAAGGCGGTGATACCCCCGGCCTCCCAAAGGTCACCGGCGGGTTCCGGCGCGAAGAGGGAGGGTTTGCGGGCGGGGACCGGGAGGATGAGGTGTAGTGAATCCGGCGAGGGGGTCTCCATGGGAAAGTAATAAAATCGCTGTGTTTGGATGATGAAATCGATACTAAAAAATGTGCGTGTTGGGAGAGATGCGCAATATAGTCTTTTCACTGCCACCGGCTTCGCAAGCGGACGCATCAAGTGGAGGGGATATCGTCAGCGGCCGTGTGATGCGATGGAAGAGAATGGGAGAGAGGAGGGTTGGAGATGGGTATCGGTTGCAGGGCATAGTAATTAGCGGTGCCGCTGTATAAGGACTCTTCTTTAAATTAAACCGATAATGCGCACGTCGCTGCCGGCAGCGCGTTTCAATGTTGAACGATACCGTGAGATCCTGACTGCATTTTATCGACGCTCAATCTTTTCTTCCCACATGACTTAATGTTTTAGGACATACATGATTTTAAAATATTCTAAAGCATTGTTAGAAAAAATGTCTGATTTTGTCAGTCTTAGTATATGCCGGTAAAAGTTCTATCACTTTTCTGTTTAACGTTTTAAAGAAATCTGACCGGTGGTCAAAGGTTATGGAAGAAATCCAAGGGAGACCGTGTTAGTCGTAATTATCAGGCGAACGGCATAGGAAGCCCATACCGAGAATTACCTGTACTGTAGAATGGAGTCGAATTCTTCTCGGGCGAATATTTGCTCAGAGCAATTAACAGTCTCAACACTGAGTGACTCGTTTTCTTCCGGGTGAATGTTGACAATTTAAAAATACCTACTAGACCTTCAAAATGTCACTGCGCCGCCAACTGTGTCAACATGAAAGGCCTTTGGAAAAGTCCGACATCGATTTCTAGTGCGTTGAAATGTCGCAAAACCAGTTATAATCCGAATGCGGAACATGAGTAGTATGGCTATGACTTAGCGACAGGTTTTGTCGACGTCACACGTGTACCGTGCCACGGTACACGTCTGGTGACCGGTGAATAACGCTCACATGACCTCAGACGTGTACCGTGCACGGTACACGTCTTAACTGGCGGTGTACTGACTGCTGTGTGATACAGCCAATGTTGCGGTGAACACTCTGACCTGTTGGTAACTCGTAAACTTCTTTTTAGAGTAATTATGTTTTATTAATTTTCATATGAATTAAACAAAGATGTCGCAGTATGAACCGTCATACGATGACCTTTTAGCATTAGCCACATTAGCCGCCCAGCCGGATATTGTGCATCAAGAGCGCACGGTTTTGTCGGAAGAAGACCAAGTGGCGGCCAGCGAGTTTTTCAATCTACCGGAATGGTTCGCCGAGCAACAGCCACCGTACGTTTTGTCTGCAGAGGATAGAGCGGGCGCGGAAGAGTTTCTTGCCCTAGGGGAGTGGGATGCCCCGTACGAGCTATCCGCAGAAGATCAAACGGCCGCGAATGATTTTTTTGCGCTAGAGGAGTGGGACGCTGGTGGTGACATTCAGGAGGGAGCGGGACAAGAAAATCTACTACGGGTGGAAGAGCATGTTACTGTGAACAGTGAAGGAGTCTCGTTCTCCCCTAAGTGGAAGCTGCACTTCAAGGTCTTTTCCGTTAAGGTAACCGCCGCTACTACGACTTACCATAATGGATGTGGCAAAAGTTTCTCTTAATAGGTCAGTGACCTTGAGCATATTGAGTTTGCCGAGGTGCCATTAGTCATAGTCTTGTTATTGGATTACGTTCTCGACACTGTCTTGCGGGATGTGGGTGACGGGCAGAAAGTTCGTTTGCGCATCGACTGCGTTTCGTTAGATCGTCCAATCTGGACACCCCCGATATTGCGGTCCCAACTAACGGTGGAACGGTGGATGGCGGAAATCGAAAAAGTTCTTAATTCCTACGAAGAGTTCATTTTGGATCAGCGGTTTGAAATTTCGGTACACCATACAGACGCTCCTAGTGGCAGTTGTGTTCGTACGGTTCCTGAGTTGCTCCGCCGCAAGCTGGAGAAAATGCGGTCAGTTGTTGTCATAAAAAACGACGATCAGATCTGCATGGCCCGCGCATTGGTGATTGGAAAGGCGCATGCCGATGGAAATCACGACCTTTACCAGAAGCTGATTCGTGGAAAAAAGCTGCTTACGTTGGAGGCAAAAACCTTGGTGCGCACAGCAAAGCTACCCGAACGCGAGTTTACTTTAGCGGATATTGCAGCTTTTGAAAAGGTTCTGCCGGATTGTCAAATAACAGTGATTAGCACGGAGCACGCCAACAAAGTTGTTTACAATGGCGACGCAAAAGACAAGCACATTGCCCTTTTGCATCATAACCATCATTTCGACTTACTGAAATCGTTACCGGCTTTTTTCAAGCGATCCTATTGGTGCTTCGGGTGTAGCAAAGGGTACAACCAGCGCGGCACTCATCGCTGTTCCCGTTTATGCCACTCCTGTCTGCGCGAAAGCTGCCCGTATGACATGGACCACAAGATTACCTGCCCGGATTTTCATCGTGTGTTTTTTGGAGTTGACTGTTATCAGCACCATAAGCAAGTCCGAGGTGCTGGTAAGCAAGGAAAGGCCCAAAAAAGCCTGTGCAGCATGGTTTTCCAGTGTCCCGATTGTCGTTGCATTGTATCCATGCGGCAGAGAAAAGGTCAAAATAACCACCAGTGCGGTGAAATATTTTGCAAACCTTGTGGACTACATGTTATTCCTGAAGATCACCAATGTTTCATCAAGCCCCACCAGGTGACTGCGGAGGAGCTAGCCAAACACGCGAGCGCGCGCTTTCTGTTTTTTGACTTTGAGACTTATGTCTCTGAAAACAGCAGACTGGTTCCTAATTTGGCGGTAATTATAAACCGGAGCTCTGTTCAACTTTTTTTTTTACCAATAGTTGTTTATTAGGTAGTGCAAGACGGTGATGGTCGAGAATGGGTGTTTCCCGACGAAAACACGCCACTCGGTGTCGACATCACTGATCAGCTCTGCAGATTTATTTTTTAAGAGCAGCATCGGGACTTTTATGTCATCGCCCACAACTTCAAGGTAGAGGTCACTAAACGATGGTTAAACGAACATTTACATAATCACTATGCTGTTGTAGGCATTTGATGGGTACTTTATATTGCACTGGTTAGTCGAAAATGGGATCGTACCGAAGATCATCTTTAACGGTGGAAAGATCCTCCAGCTAGATGTTAGCGAACTAAATATCTGTTTCCGGGACAGCATGAACTATAACCCGCAAAGCCTGGCAAAATGGCCAGCAACTTTCGGTATTACAAACACTGCAAAGGGCACGTTTCCTCATCGTTTCAATCGCCCGCAGAATTGGGACCAGATTCTGGAGTTCCCTGCGAAAGAAGAATACGGATACGACAGCATGGACAAAAATGCGCAAAAAGAATTTGATGTATGGTACGCTGAAGAAGCTGCCCGAAAACAAAATCTGTTTAATTTCCGGGAAGAGTTCACAACCTATTGCCGAAACGACGTAACGGTATTGCGGCGATGCTGCCAAAAATTCCGAGAACTGTTCCAGACGATCAGCGGTGGCTTGTGTCCCTTTGTATCGGCGCTTACAATAGCTGGGTTGTGCAACCGGTTCTGGCGCTCTTTCGTCCTTAAACCGAACCAGATTGGACTGCTACCAAATCACGGCTACAACCGCAATAGGATGCAGTCAGCCAAAGCGGCAAAGTGGTTGGCGTGGATGGAAGAGGAGGACAATTGTCTTCTGCAGTCAAGGTGGTCTGGTGGCGAGAGGAAAATTGGACCTTATTTTGTTGACGGGTACGACGCGCAACGGAACCGAGTGTATGAATTTTATGGATGTTGGTATCATGGTTGCCCAATATGCACTGCACCCGACACTGTGCATCCGTTCCGCAATCTTCCAATGTCGGAGATCTATAAAGAAACACTGGACAGAGAGGAGTATTTGAAATCCCTCGGATACAGCATTACAAAGATATGGGAGCACGAGTACGATTCGGAGGTGCGAGCCAATATGGAAATGCGACAGTACACTAACCGGCTAACAATTTCCAGCCCACTGAATCCCCGTGATGCCTTTTTTGGAGGTCGGACCAATGTTGTTAGGCTGCATCATCAGGCTGTCCATGATGAGAAAATTTGTTACTATGATGTATGCAGCGAGTATCCTTTCGTTAACAAGTACAAGCGCTATCCCGTCGGACACCCACGCGTGATTTTGCGCGACTTTGAAGATATCCGAAACTACTTTGGGTTGATTTTTTGCGAAGTTCTTCCCCCTGGCAACTTATACCTTCCAATTTTGCCATATCGCAGCAACGGCAAGCTGACATTCCCGCTGTGCCGTACCTGTGTGGACGGATACTGCAATCAACCGTGCGGCCACACTGATAGTGAGAGATCTTTGACTGGTACTTGGTGTACACCCGAACTGCATGCTGCATTGGATAAAGGGTACACTGTGCGAAAAGTGTATGAAGTCTGGAATTTCCCTAACCAAGAAGACCGCCTATTTCAAGACTACATTGATCGCTTCCTCAAAATCAAAACAGAAGCTAGTGGATGGCCTGAGCATGTTCGTACAGAGGAAGAAAAGCGACAATACATCCAGGCCTACTATGAAAGGGAAATATCCGCTTGGATTACGACAAAATTGAGAATAACCCGGGGTTGCGCGCGCTGGCTAAACTGTGTTTAAATAGGTACGATGTCATATCGTTCAACTTTAAGTAGTTACTAATATGCTCACGCTATTTCGCAGCTTTTGGGGGCGCCTGGGAATGCAAGATAACAAACTGAATACCATGTTTATTGATGACCCTCAAGTATTCTACAAAATGCTCTACTCAGGAAAAAACCATGTGCACTCCTGGGATCTGTTTACTGAGGATATGATCCAAATAACGTACACGAAAGAGGAAGGGTTTGTTGAACAAAACCCAAACACGAATGTTGTGCTAGCCGCGTAAGTTGTCTGTCCGTTAACTGTTGTCTGTCCGTTACCCCGTTTGTATTTGCTGCGGTTTTCAGATTTACGACGTGTTGGGCTCGCTTGCACCTTTATGGTATAATGGCACAAGTACAAGACCGACTTCTGTAT